TTCAGTTATTTGATTTTTTTTTTTTTTTTTTTTTACAGTTAAGCCAATTAATATTTATATACTGTTGGTCTATATTCTTTTACTGCTCTAAAAAATGTCTCTTTATTCGAACAACTAGCCACTGTCCGAGCCAGACGCTTATCCGGTATCAATAACAAGGGAGGGAGAACCACGTCGGAAGATATCGGTTATATCATAGGATTATATCTATGGGTTATATAACATCGTCATTATTAATTCCGTTACTGTGATTTGCGGAGGCTGTCGTTATTGTAGTCAGGGGCAGTGTCTAGTCGTTCTGATCGGACAAAAACCCTTGGCAGATGTAATTCGTAATAAAAGTAGACCGTGGTGCCGCTGTGCGGGCTAAATTTCACCATTGGCACACGGTATGACTAAGTCCGTCTTCATTAGCCCAGTTGGTGTAGAAAAGTAGGACGATAAACCCATTTCTGTTTGGTTTAATTTTGTCAAGAACATCGCTATCTATGAAATTCCGTATCGCTTTATGCAACTTGAATAAAATATTGTTGGAAAAAAAAACTATCATAAAGTTTGTCAGGTCGGTATTTTTACTCTGTGGTGCTTGTGTCTGTGTAGGCTAATATATGCAAAATCGTTCTGTATTTGCAGAGCCAATCAGTATATCCTGCTGTTCATTTTGTAAATGTATGATTGTCGAAGACTCTGATGGAACTTGTAAAAATCCCTTTTGATTACTGTCAACGAATTGTTTTATTGTTATACCATTATACTTAATTCATTCTGACTTTTAAGCTACCTACAAACATTTATTCAAAGAAATTCTCCCTACTCAAACTTTCCTACAGAACCATACTCAGACCCAGGACTATAAAGCATCAATGAAGAAGTGAAATGAAATGAAATGGAGTTTATCTTCCTACTGTTCTGCTCCGAACTGGGCTAATGAAGACGGGCATACGCCATGTAGTACAGTGTGTTATGAGGGAACTTTTGCCCGGACAGTGGCACTACGACCTACTCTTATATCGAATTCAAACTATCAAGGGACATCGGTTTTTCGTCCCATCCGAACGACTAGACAACTGTCTTTATCAGGCCCTCCGTCCTGCATCCCTGACAAGGGGTAATGAACTTTCTCGGCCAATGCAGGGATCGAACACCCGACCTCCAGGCTAGCGAGCCCGCGTCTTAGCCACTTAGCCACTTAGCCACCGTGACCCCATCAATGAAGAAGACGTTTTTCGTCTAAATAATAGAAATAAAATGAAATAGAATTAAAATTTACACTGAACAACTAAAGCAGTTAGATTATACATTGTCTTAATTTAAAGTTACATGAATAGAAATTAGAAATTACGTCAATATAAGTTCAAAATTACATGAACAAAAGTTAGAAATTAGACGATAGGCCGTTAGAATTTTGAATCTAATATACCGCCATACATGAACGCATTGAGTTTATTAAATCAATGATTGTTATGGAATATGTAGAATCTATTAATTAATGTTATTCATTAACTGTTAGCAATAAATAGTCAAATCGATGGAGTCTACAGGATATGAATATATCAAATATTGTGTGTTCTAGAAAGATGATGATGACACATTATATATTTTAAAGGGTGAGATATGTCCAATGTTATGGGGTTTAACGTACAATCTGAACTAACTCGGAGTAGTCAAAAGGCTCTAGTCATTGTAGAACAAACTAATATCCGCCATCTACATGTTGGGGTATACACCGAAGATGATACTCACAAAAAAAAATAGAAAAATAAAACCCAATCAAATATTATATTTTATAAAATAAAACGCTAAAACCTCGCTTTCTGGAAATAAAGGGGCTAAATCTCTAACTCAATATTATGTTCTATAACTTTCGAAATTAAAAACACGAATTAAAATTCAATATTGGTCCATTTCAATCAATATTGAAGTTGTTATCTTGTGAAATTATGGGATCCTATAATATCCAATATCCAATATTCAAGACACAATGGAAATTTTATAATCAGTAGGCCTACGGTAGCTTACACGAGTCGTGTATTTTACGATTTCGGGCCCCATTTGTAATAAACAAGGACAAACATATCCTACAAGACAATGTGGAAGTAATTAGTAATGGTTGATTCACAATAGACAAAATAATATTTGTTTTTAAAAAAAAAAAAAAAAAAAAAAAAAAAAACGCGAATCGCTCAATTTGGACTTTTCAGGTATATCACCGAACATAATTCATTATAATTACAATATTTTTTTTAAAAAATTGAATATAAATCACATTATATACACACATATTTCACCAATATGACTATATGCTTTCCAGTGAATAGAACCATACGCCCTTTAAATAATGCAAATTTTATTGGACATTTGAAATAGTAGCTCTTTAAGAAAGATTTCAGAATTGTGTCTTTGAGGAAAGAGATAATCAATTTCAGCTTTAACTAATGGCCAGTTCATCTATAATCCATGGTGGACAAATTATTATCTTTAGTATTAAAGATCCAATAAGTATTTAGTATTAAGTCCCTTGGATGGTTCTTGATTAATTATCTTAATCACGCAAGTAATTGTTTCTCACAACTATTCCCAATATGCCACTCAGTTTATTTCAAGTTCGCAACCGATCTAGGATTGTTTATTAATTACAAAATATGGTGACGTGTCTAGGTACTTAAGTTCTTTGACAATTCAAATTACCATAAAAAAAATCCCCGATATCTACTTTATTTTTATAAACTGAAAAGTTCAAATAATGTTTGTAATATTTTGTGGAAATTAACAGGTTACTTATTCTTAATACTTACAATATAATAAATATAATTTGTAAATCACCATTTTAAAGTTCAATTACTTTTTTATGCTAGAAAACGCATTTTCGTTTTATTGATTGTGATTGCCCTGCTTACGTCAAAACTTACACTTTCATAAATATCGTTTATTTAAAACGTTTCATTCAAATTCCTTCAACCACGCGCAAGTAAGTAGACACTAAATGCATAACTTAAACATGTCAATTAAAAATGCTATTCAAAAACGTAAAATTCATTTTCAATATGTATGGGCGGGTGACATGTCACTTAGTTAAGTTATTTAATAAATAAATAAAATTTTAAAAATTATGTTTCCAAAACAATATCAACAAACAAACCAGCAGTGAGTCTAATATCCCCCACCTCAATTCACAACATCGTCTTACCTGTAAATGTAGATACCAGTAAGGCTGTAAATATCAATTGATATATTGCGATCTCCATTTTAATCTGACAGTTGAAGTATGTCCTCTATCCAGTAAAGTTTGGTCTCGTCTGATAAATTTATATCGATTCAAACTTCTTACTTCTCCTGACTGTTGACAAAACGTCAGTTTCTATGACGATGCGTGAACAAATTGGGTGTGATCTACTGGTATACATTTGGTTTATGACAATCCATGTACAAGTATTATTCCATATAACGAGCAGAGAGAACTGTTTGCTGTTTTTCACAAGGTTAATTGGAAAATGATATTTAATTTGTTTATTTAGTCTTTCACTAAGGTAGAATGTTACTTGTACGCACTGTGTTAGAACTAATCGCCTATTATGTTTCCGGGTAAAATGGTGATAAGTATGATGAACATCAATATCTATCCCAAAGTTGTCCAGAAAATCAGATCAATAAAATAAAGATCATATTTTTCAGCTTAAAATTTGTAGACCGAGTATACAATCAATCTACCAACAGGTGTAGGAATCTGCAAGTCCTTGTGATCAGACCGGTTCACACCGTCTTTTTAATTCATTTGAATTCGACTATTAATATAATTAAAACGCATAGAAAATAAGATCTACGAATAAACAAGTGGCGAAAAGGCTCTAAAATCCTTAACCCTAGCTTATAACTGTTCGGATTTTCTAAATGGGTCATAACAGGGGGTATTGGTGGTGAGTTAGGGATTCAAAATAGTTTAGCAACGAAAGTTTGATTAGTTAAATTTTTATTCGCATAATAATTAGTATCATTTGTATGTGTCCTTTTTTATCCCTGGCATCCGTGTTAAAGATAGAAGGCCGTGACAATAAAATGACTAATGTGAGTCTTTTTTAAGTTTTTGGGGTCGGGGGTGGGGCAAACTTCATGAGCATGTCACACCGCTGGGCGTGAAGCAACTGCGTCCATTTAAAGGACAAAGTTAGTGTACACCAATTTTTAGTATGTGATAGAATTGGTTAAATACATTCCAAGTATAATTTCAACATAGAGATCTTTGCTATGGTTGCCGTAACAACGATTACCGCACATAAAGGAAATCAGTAATTGTTAGCGACTAAAGTAAGGAAGACGCAGAGTTGTGAGACTGTGGGTGGGGGGCAGGGAGGGGGGGGGATTCGTTCTCAACCTGCTGTCTCGATATCAGAAAAAGCCAGCAAAACGGAAAGCAGTCCATGTATCACCTAGTTTAAAATTACAAATCGCATTTGGCTTGTAAACTGAGCGTGCAATTAAGCGATCTTTATGTATTGAAAAGAAAAACTTGCGTCTTTGATAATGAGCTTAAAATTATTGTGACAATCAGGTCTGAAATACACTCGGGGTAGGCAACAAGATTTGTAATTAATTGCAATTAAGATCGTCTGTCGGAACAGAATTGCTATTTGTGATACATTGTATATGGTGTAGTCTGTATAACGGTAACAAGCTCTATTTATTTTAAAAGGGCTATATTTCAAATGATTGGCGGATTTAAAGGTGAAAAATTGGTTGTTTTGGGGATTTTAAAATTAAAATTGCTTTTACTTTGTCACCTTTGATAAACAAGAAAAGGACACCCAACACGTGGATCTGTCATTGTGATCGTTTTTTTTCTAGTTTTCAAAAGCTAAAAACATCTTTACAGAATAAATAGTTTTCTAAGAAGACTTACTGTCGCGATGAAACTAATTTTCAAAGGATTAGCAGTAATCGGAGAACCTGCGGTCTTCTCCCATGAGTATGTATTGCAGAGTAACCCCCCTTATCATTAGAAAGGAAGTAAATAAGTGCGCATGACAGAAATAGTTGCGATGAACTTGACAGTGCTGTAAACAATCAAGATAAAACTGAAAATATTGAAGTTAAATCAACATCATGTCGTTTAGAGATTTAAGGAGTAAGTTCTAGAACCTATAATGAGCGTTTTCATTCATGAAGTAACTAATCGGCCTTTTCAAAAATGATTTTTCTTATAATGTGGGCATTCACAGTGAGTGACAGAAGATAGCATTAGCTAGCTACGAGAACGTAGCTAAAAACGTTGAGATATACTGATGTGTTTGTTTTTAGCTACGATTAGACGCCTTTAGTTCCAAGTGGCAAACTCAATTTCTTTATTAATGCATGTAACATCTATCTTTAAAATAGATAAGTTTATGATATTATGATTAATTAAACTTACAGAGGCCAATGTAGTGGCACAACTGTCGCCTAACTCCAAATATTCGCGTTTAAATTAATGAAGCATTGTTTTTGTCTTGACATTTCAGACAACGTTCCGGTACATATAATGATGTTTTCTTTATTATGCTGAAAACGGTATAGTTGTTTGCCACCTACATGTAGTTCAGCTCTGAACGTAGATCTCATTACACTCGCCCTGTCCTTTCAGGAACCGTCCTATTGATTTGAATCCTGTCAAAAAAGTTTTGATTCCCAGTTAATTTTACTGGGCAACTTTTTACTGCTATCAATTTTGATAAAAACAATGCTTGATGTACTTTATTGTCAGTATTTGCTGATAAATGAAAGTTGTTTCAGTAGATTGGGCTGCGTATGTGCAATAAGTTCTAATAGTATAAAATTAACTTATTTTTAAGATGTTACATGCTTTAATAAAGAAATTAAAGGAGCTAAATTGCTAATATTTGGGACCTAGAATAATGTAATCTAATTGTATATAAAGTGATTTACATTCAATTGTTTCCGTTTTGTCTCTAATTTCAAATCAGTTATGTCCAGCGAAATACGGCATGAGTTTCAACCAAATGGCAATTTCTAGCATCTGGTTATTCCAGTCTATTGCACATGCTTTCTAGATAAGATATGGCATCAGTATCATCGTTTGACATGAGTTGTGAAATAGGTCTAGCCTCGTTCTTTCTGGTCACTTGTTACAAATGACGCCGAAATGCACTATGGTACACAATTTATTAGTTAAATTGTGTTTTTCGCTCAATTTATGCCAGAGTGATTTGTGTTTACATGTATAGCTTTTTGTCACTACCCTGTCTGTTAATCAGCAACAGTGGAAAAAATCTGATATTCAAGCTTCTGAATCTGGGACACACACATGTACTGTTGATCCACTGATCTAAGTGTTGTTTGAAGACACATTGAACCTGGATTTCGAAACGTAGACAGCCTCTATAAGCTTAATTTTTCTAAATCGAGGCATGTGTTGGCAGTTTTGCAGTGTTTTCTTGATTGTTGATACAACACTCTATTTATTCAGATTTTACAGAAATGATGAGAGCCTTGGGCTATCGAAGATTGATATCAATAGAAAATTTTCGTACACCAAATTTTCCACTGGTAGCTGAAGTTTTGACATGGTTGGTTAAAAGGTGAGAACTTTTAACAACAATTATTATAGGCTTGTGAAAATTTAGGTAAGCTGGGGGGGGGGGTGAATTGGATTTTTTGAAAGTTGAGAATCTTCAGTCATTTATTGCTTTGGCTAGCCCAATTACCATCAAATTTTTTCAAAAATTCCAATTTTGTTTATCCTGCTTACCTAAATTGCATTTTGTCTTATATGGCTGAGTTACTTAAATTTGTGCGTTACCCTATAATTAGAATTCAAAGGCTTTTGCCAGAAGGGGACAGAAGGGGACGTATTTTTACAGCATGTTGTGTTGCACATACTGCCTCTAGCAAGGTAAACAAGGTTTTATTTTCTCAATAAAATGTTTCCTTACATTGTTCAGGTGTTCACAGAGACTTACACACGACCATTTAGCAGTAAAAAGTTGCCCGGTAAAATTGACATAGTGCCAATAATTTTTTGACAAGGATTCAATAGGGCGGTTCATGAACGTACAGGGCAAGTGTAATGAGACGTACGTTCAGAGCTGAACTAGGTCTTGCATGGCTAACAGTGAAACTTTATAGTGTTGTCAAGCCTCATTATGTTTTGTACATATAATAATGAGCACTTGACTTAATTGATGTGCATGTAAAAGGTCCCTTGTAATTAATCAGGTGGAATTTAAAGAATCGTGGGCTAAAGAATGACTCTCTGGGTACATTCTCCTACCTAGCATTACGTATGAAAATAAGTGTAATGCTGTATTATAGTCTCAAATGTTTAGCTACACCCTTGCTTTAAAAGGTGCCCCCCCCCCCCTCCCAAATACCATCAACTATTTTCTAATTTTTATACACATATAAATTGAACTTTTTTGATAGGTTTGAGCCCAATGCAGATATACACAATGATATTGACACAGAACAGGATAGAGTTATATTTATCAAAAATGTTGCAGAATTTATGGTAAGTCATGTTCATGATACAACTATATGATTCTATGATATGAGAATAATACAAGCATAACTGATCCTGATTTGCAAACGAAATTAAAGTTAAAAAGATAAACCTCTTGATGATTAAACTTGTATGATGGGAAAATCTTATATGTTCTTCAATCAGTTTTAATGCCAATGTTTAATATGATTTGTGTAAGCCTTTAGTATGTTAAATATGTAGAACTAGGGAGATGGGAAGTTTACCATTATTACTGGTGTGTGCAACTGATAGCTAAGTTCTCCAGTTTTCTAAAAACTTGTCTTTTCCAGGCTACTAAGGCACATATTAAACTAAATACAAAGAAGTTATATCAGGCAGATGGTTATTCTGTTAAAGAATTATTAAAAGTAACAAGTGTATTATATAGTGCTGTTAAAACTAATGTAGAACAAGCTCTAGAGAATGCTGATGAAGAATCATCTACTGTTTCCTTTGATGTATCATCTAGAGTAAGTACACTTTATTATGTGGTACTTTACAACCAGGATTTTTAATAAAATGTTTAGTAACGTGATGACCGGTACATGAATATTATCTGATGCTGCATCCATTATTAGGTATATTATGAAAACCAAATGTTTATATAAATATCCTTTATGTATCCATTGTTTGATGTCTTTATGATTTTAATTCTAATTTGTGGTTTTTGTTTCTATGCCCAATTGAATATTTAAGAAAGCTGAGTTGCCTACCTAACCTTGTGAATTTTCTGTAGGATATCCAGTATCTTCCACATGTACCGAGCACTTATCCACATGTTAAACACCATTTCCTTTTTTGTAGATAAGTGATTTAAAGGAAGCTAGAATGTTAGCATCAACTATAACAACTAAAGGTGCAGCTCTGTATGATTTATTAGGAAAAGAAGTAGATCTTAGGGTAAGAGCTATATGTCTGTGGTAATATGAATAAAATTTAATTTTCTAATTGATGGAATCTATTTGCAAGTTTAAGAAATCAAATACTGATTAATTTTTTGGTTAAGTGATTTTTTTTATAACCCCTACATGCAATATCAACGTATATTGCTGTCACCTTCATATGGCCACAATTTATTGTAACCACTATACAGGTTACAGTTTTTTTGATCACATGTACTGAGTGCTACCGTGATACAAATCTTAGTTCTGAAGAAATCTGTTAATTTTTAAAAAAATTTATAACTTAAATTTCGAATGCATTTTGCAGATCAGTTTTCTATTCACATTTTGTATGTTAAATTTCTCAGTGTGCGTTATGTTAACAAAAATGATTTTAAATGTGGCACAGACAAAATTTTCTGTTCGGCATATTAAAATGTTTTGTTATTACAATGTTTCAGGAAATACGAGTAAATGTGATTGCAAAGTCTTTAGAAGTTGACGAAGTTGAAAGGGGTTTAAAAGGTTCAATTAAAGCTGTTGAGGTATGTTATCTTAACGTCATTAAAGAAGGCCACTGAAGTGAGATAATAAGTATATCTGAGCAGGTCTGGAAATAATGATCTAATTTGTACCTGACAAAATCTCAGGCACTAATAATGACAACTTTGTGCCGAGCATATTAAATAAACATCATAAAAAGACATCTATGTCAGAAAAAATGATAGGCACCAGAGAGGTTGTACCTAACAAAATCTAAATTAGTGACTGACAGTGTCTGTGAGAGGTGCCTTATTTCCAGGCTAAATCTGAGACTACTTCACTACTAGGATATCTGTGGTTGAATAGTCCAATGTACACTATTATCTTACTTCTGTACCAGTGATGGGATTTCAAAATTTTACTTGTCGGACATTTTACCGAAAATAAAGGGGCATAACTCTTATCGTTATTTAAGCAGACGAATTCGTACCACAATTAAAAGTCACATGTCAAAATATTCAAATCCCGTACGTAATAAAAATAGGTGAACCTCGCTATTTTTCATATTTAATTCCCGTACAGTATTAAATTCATACCACAATTAAAAACCACATGTCAACAAAATATTCAAATCCCTTACGTAATAAAAATTGGTGACCTCGCTATTTTTCACACTTAATTCCCGTACAGCATTCAAATTTATGTCAGTAAATGTCCTACAAAATTAAGCATTTTCGTGATATGTTGAATGAAAGCTTGCCGATCCTGCTTCGGCATCAAATTCACAACCATAATATTCCTTTAGAATTACGTGTCTTCGTTTATACGGCAGCAAATGAATGCAGAACTTCCGAAATAGTTAAATCACTTGTAAACAGGCATAGCTAACTTCAGCGAATAACACTCTTTCATAGTCACGACAGAGTGACAGGCATCATAGGCAACACAGCAGAATGATTGACGCCTACAAATACGTTAGAATTTCTGCTCATATAGCTATTGGTAGCCCCTCCCCTTTTTGTTATTTTGCTGGGTGCGTACTAGTCTTGGTCACCCAGAAACTCCTAGTCTTCAACATATTCGTAGAATATTTTTCTGGATAATAGAGACTAATAGCCTACGTGACTCATCACACGGCTTCATAGTAAGCACTGCCTAATAATATGTTAAGCAATATTCGTGCCGCGCTCGAGATCAAGGGAAAGTGCCACTGTGGATGAGAATTTCTATATGGATTCTTAAAAGACGTAAAAGATATCGTAGACAAAATGACTGTCCATTGATTTAGGGTGTTATTTACTCTTACGATATGTGACATCTATGATTAGTTTATTATAGATGATGTCGGCTCACATCAATGCGATTAAGATGCATGACAAATGAAGTGGATTAAAATTATAATCATTCTTATTGAATTGATGAATAGTCCGACAAAAGGAAAGCAATGACTTCTGTTTAAGATTAGATTGATGAATTGTCCGACAAAGGATTAAGTAGTTAAAGCAAGGTAGGTTTATACTATAGACGGTATAACCCGATAAATACGTTGATCACTTAATTACCTAATAAACCCAGCGTATTATCGACGATAATCAGGTTGGAAAAAAGATTCGGACAAGTGCGGAATATACGGGCAAAATCCCATCACTGTTCTGTACCAATTTGTACTTCAGATTTTGATTATTCTTTAGGATTTTCTACTATATTTGTTATATCCTGTTTATTTGGGGTGACTTCTTTGAAGACTATTTTCTCTGGAGTAGGATTAAACATGCATTATGCAAGAGATAAATCTGCGTATCGCAGGTCTTTCTTTAGGCCTGAAATCTTATCTAAATTATTAATTAGACATTAATTAACTTATCCAGACCATAATCAACTCTCGATGTCAAGGCTAGCCTTCAATATCGACTGGATTAGAATCATATATGCTGCAAACGCTCATTGGTAATTAAATCAAAACAATGGATAATCGAGACTATGCTTTTTAACGTACTAACTTTAGTAATGATGAACGAGGCTAGGCAGAAATTTACAAAGCTGATATCTCAGTTCATAGCGGACCAATTTGAAATTTTCAACAAATTACCTTTACATTATCTAGTTTTTTAACTATTATAGCGAGAACTGTCAGCTCTTTATCTAATCTCCCATAATGTATCTTTAAGTAAACAATCGCAATTCAGGAGGAAAAATTGCCTAAATATGTCATCTGCACAGCAATTACAGTATGAATCATTTTGGTGTCATATTCTCAAACTATTTATTTTTCATAAGTTACAATTATTCATAAATCTGTATATTTCTGTAATGATTCAATACTTTATTGAAATTGCCCTTGCATCAAGGAAAATTTTCTTTTTATGTATTAAATATTATTGTATGTTTAAATTTTAGTTTTATGAATCTCTTTTTTTTTTATTCAGAATGATATTAAGAAAACTTTAACAATGTTAGATAACGTTGCATCAGATGAAGCCAATTTAGAAGCTAAAATTGATAAACGAAAAAATGAAATGGAACGAAACCAAAAACGACTTATGACCTTACAGAGTGTCAGGTAATAACAATTATGTTATGTAGAAATATCAAAAGCGCTTTACTTCTTGATGGGGGTTGGGTGGTCGGGTGGTCCAAAACCTTAATCAGATGATAAACATGTAAACATGCCATTGATTAAATTAAATCTTAATTAGTCTGATTGAAGGCCTACAGATTTTAATCTAGTCAATAAATAATCATATGAATTGTTATTTTATATCTTACAGACCCGCTTATATGGATGAATATGAAAGATTTGAAGAAGATTTACAAAAATTATATGCACAATATTTAATTAAATTTCGTAACTTAACTTACCTAGAGCAACAATTGGAAGAACAGCAAAAATCAGATCAGGATAAAGTTGAGGTAATCATTATGCGATATTTTGATTTGCATCTCGCCTTTCAAAGAAAGTAAGGCATTATTAAGATGGGTTCTGTCTGTCTGACACACTTTTAAGAGTTCAACTACTCTGCTTCTAATTGAGCTAGAATGATCAAACATGGTGTAGGTGTTCATTAGGGGAATGTCTTGACTGAGTTTGATGATGTGCATTTTCTGCGATGACTAAGCTATAATTTGGTTTGTTTGAAGCCTTGGAGCATGTAACTCTCATTCTAATTAACAGAGCATGATGTAACCTGATGTATAGTGTCATTACATTAGTGCCTTGACTAACCAAGGTAATCCCTATTTTCTGAATGGGATAAGCAGAGTAATTAGCAATTTGCTTGCTCAATGCTTTACAAAAAGAGAATTGTGCAAGTAATTAATGAGTGTCATCTAATTATTTTAGGATTGGGGTGACACTGTTGGCTAGTTTTCACAAAGATTGAGGATGTTAAGATTTCTAACATAATTAGATTTTACTGTCTTCAGTTCTTCTATCTTCTGCTTTATTTCTAGGAAACTGATGCTGCCCTAAAAGTTATGGCTGAGAAAATCAAAAATGAAGAGAGAAAGCAACATCAGATAACTCCAGATGATGACGATGATGATGATGAAGATGATAAAGATATGTTTGGTAGATATCTTTTATTATCCATAATATATTTGTAGCAAAAAGCCTGTACCGTGTTTTAATTTTTTTAATCAACTGTGACATCCTACTATTAAAAATCAGAAATAGTCTATTAATCTCAAGATTCAAACTTAAAGTGCCTGTTGAGAACTCTGTATCATGTTCCAAACCTGTCTGAATTTTGATAGGGTTCCTCTTTCATCCTAAATGAACAATTCTAAGTTTTAAAATATTCCATAACGAAATTTTTCCTATCATAATCAAAAGCTTTAACAGCCATGAGAGCCACAATTGTCGTGCGGTAGGGCATGGTTGTTTCAACCAGAATGGTCCAGGTTCAGATCCAGGGCCAAAAAGAGCCACAGTGATTTTTTAAGCCCAGTTCTCATTAGTCGCCTAGATGATAGAAAAGACCATATTTCACTCATGTAGATTGATGGAATTTGATGAGCAATAGGCAGAAAGATGTATCCATTGAAATGAAAGAAATAACATATCTTAGTTTCAAAATGACTGAAGTATTGAGTCAGTCACAAATTAAACCCATTCCGAAATTCAGAATTTTCACAGTGGTCTCCCAATGAACAATACTTACAAATTAAAAACAAACATCCATAAAAAAATTCAGAACTGTAAAGTGGTCACAAGCAGTTAAATAAATGGAGGTGAGGACAATATATGCCAACATTAAAGTCTGACAAAATGGGTTTGACTTTAAAATTCAATTATTAATGACAACCATAAAACATTTTTTTTTAAATCTTTTATAATCTATGATTAATTAAAGGTCCTGATGATGACTCGGAGGAAGAGGTTATAGAAAGACGTGAACGTCCAGTCAATCACAGAATAAGACCCGAGGGAAGACCTGGTATGTGAAATTTCTTGTAAAATTACTATAAATATGATAATATTCTCTAGTTACAATTCTTGTTACTATCTTAGATAATATTTATATGGTCACATTCACCTTTTTTGCCATAATTTTTATAAGGTATTATATATTTGTGTTCTATGTTTCAGCTGCAGCTGGTCAAAGAGGAGCAGGTGGGCGAGTTGCTGGCTCCATGAATCCTGATTTAAGTGATGTAAATCAATTTAGACTATTCCAAGTTTATTAACCTTTTGTTTAAGCCATGAAACCATTAATGATTATTTTTGTTGAAAACATTCAACATCAACAAAAGAACGATGATGTGCACAAATTTATTGAGTGGAAAAACTTACAGTTTGTGATAAATCCGTCTTCATTAGCCCTGTTGGTTTAAAATAGTAGAATGTTAAACCTTATTTCATTTTTGATAAACCATCGAAACAAAATATGTATCAATAATTCACTCGAAGTATCTGAAACTCGAGTAAATTATTGATACATGTTTTGTTTTGAAAATTTATCGGTAACTCATAAAACTAAGTCAATTTTCAATTTTAAATTATATTTTTTGTAGATTTTTTCGATGGGGTCAATTTCCCAACTTTCTGAAAATTGACCCACTTGACAGGAAGTGACGTTTTTATACGCCCACATTGAAATGTGGTCGTATATTGTCGTCGCCCCTGTGCATCAAGCGCTCCAATGTCCGCAAGTGTGTATCCGATTGACTTTAAATTTATACACAGTGTTTAAGGTCATGAAACAAAGAATCCTATTGATTTTCACCTATTTCTGATAATTACTGCCAGAGTTATGGCCCTTGATCACTTTGAAAAATCTTGTGGACATTCTTAAGGCTAAAGTTAATATCCGATTGACTTTAAATTTATACACAGTCTTTAAATTCATGAGATGAGGAAGCCTATTAATTGTCCCCCGCCTTTCGAAGAAAGCAGGGGACTATTAAAATGGGTTCGTCCATCTGTCCGTCCGTCAGTCACACTTTTTGGGACACACTAACTCTCTTTCTAATTGAGCTAGAATGTTCAAACTTGATGTAGGTGTTTATTAGGTCAATGCCTTGAAGGAGTTTAAAGATGAGCATTTTCTGCTTAGGGTAAGCAGAGATAAGCAATTTGATTGGCTGATGCTTTGGGACACGTATACTTTAGTTCTAACTAAGTGAGAGTGAGGACACTTGGTGTATAGTTTTATCACATCAATATCTTGACTAAGTTTGATAATGAGCATTTTCTGCTCAGAGTAAGCAGAGCGATAAGCAATTTTAGTGGTCGATACTTTGGAACACAATAACTCTCCTAATTGAGGTAAAATGTTCAAACTTAGTGTAGGCGTTCATTGGGTAAATGCCTTGATGGAGTGCAGTGATAAACATTGTCTGCTTACAGTTAGCAGAGATAAGCAATCTGATTGGTTGATGCTCTGGGGCACGATAACTTTGGTTTTAATAAAGTGATAGTGATGAAACTCCAAGTATAGATTCATTTTATCATTACCTTGACTAAGTTCGATGACGAGAATTTTCTGCTTAGGCTAAGAAGCGATAAGCATTTTGATTTGTCAAGACTTTGGAACATAACAACTCTGCTTTTAATTGAGGTAGAATGTTTAAGCTTGATGTAGATGTTCATTAGGTGAATGTCTTGACTGAGTTCAATGATTAACATTCTAGCTAAAACTAAGCAGAGCTAAGCAATTTCATTGGTCAACGCTTTTGTACAAGATAACTTTGATTCTAGAGAGATGGATGAAACTTAGTGTATAGTTGATAATCAGTTTGATTGCTTGATACTTTTTTTTTAAAAAAAAACAGCGGCTGCCAGGCAGGATACGCCCACATTTTCGAGAGATGGATAGAAAACAGGCTAAAACGAAAGTGATTTTTCCTACAATCAAGGGCCATAATGCAGGAAATTACAATTCGATATGTGCAAATATCAAAAGGAACCAAGATCTGTGGTTTATAAACTTACATTTCAAGTTTCAACAAAATCGGATAAAAATTGTGACCTCTATAGGGTCCACAACCTTGATATACCATATTTTTACGCAATTTGAGAACGAGGGGCGGCCATTTTGTCTGTCAGTTTTGGGCCAATTTTCACGAAATTTGAACTCGGCCGTCCTTAGGGGGTAACGGTGATATATTAACACGTTTTTTTTTAAATCGGATAAAAATTATGACCTCTATAGGGTCCACAAGCCAAAAAAACCCATTTTTGCGTTCAATCAGGGGCCATAATTCAGGAAATTACGGTCCGATATGCGCGAATATCAAAAGCAACCAAGATCTTTGGGTTATAAACTTACATTTCAAGTTTCATTGAAATCGGATAAAAATTGTGACCTGTAGACTGTTCACAAACAATTGTGGACGGAGGGACGGACGGACGGACAGGGGCGATGACAATATATGTCCACATGAAAATGTGGGCGTATAAAAAATGTGCTATTAATTAATATGTGTCATCTATTTATTTTGGGATTTCGGCGAGGGACATCAGCCTCACTGTTGGCTTGTTTTCACTGATTTCTGATAATTACGGCCAGAGTTATGGTCCTTGATCACTGAAAAATCTTGTGGATGCTCTTGAGGCTAAAGTTAATATTCAATTGACTTTAAATTTATTTACAGTGTTTAAGGTCATGAGACGAAGAAGCCTATTAATTTTTACTGATTTCCTATAATTACTGCCAGAGTTATGGCCCTTGATCACTTTGAAAAATCTTGTGGACGCTTTTAAGGCTAAAGTTAAGATCCGATTGACTTTAAATTTATACATTGTGTTTGAGGTCATGAGATGAGAATTCTATTTTCACCAATTTCTGATAATTATTGCCAGAGTTATGGCCCTTGATCACTTTGAAAAATCTTGTGGACACTCCCGAGGCTAAAGTTAATATTCGATTGACTTTAAATTTATTTACAGTGTTTAAGGTCCTGAGATGAAGATGCTAATATTTCCTATAAGTACTGTCAGAATTATAGACCTTGATCACTTTGAAAAATCTTGTGGCACTCTACAGGCTAAAGTTAATATCTGATTGACTTTAAATTTATACACAGTGTTTAAGGTCATCAGGTCATGATTTTATATTTTTCATCGTTTCGATTGACTTTAGATTGATACACAGAGTTTAAGGTCTTGAGACGAACAAGTATATTGATTTTCAATGATTTTTGATAACTTGAACAGCTAAATCCATGATATTAAATGTTTTCTATACTAAATGTTAGCATGGGCCAAACAAATTCTAATGATTTTCTGATAATTACTTAATGAGCTGTTACTCTTAATCAGATTTTAGTGTATTATAAATGTTTTATTACTGACAAAAGTAAAAATATGCGACAAATCTTGTTGACTGCCCGGAAGATTTAGCTGCATGGGCGTATATATTTCATTGCCTGGCAACCTATCTTTTGACTGGCCAAATTTATTCGGGCTTTTAGTTATTTGATTGTACTCTATACAGAACATATACAGCAGGCTATCACATATTTTAGAATTTCAATTCATGGATTTTATATATTACAGGACAGTCAGTCAGATGGTTCAGGGGATTCAGATATAGATCTTGATGATGATGATGATGACGATGATGATGATGATTTGGTATATGCCCCCCCTCATGCCCAAAGAGCACGAGGCGTCCCTCCTAAAACTGAATTAGGAGATAGTGATAATGATTTTTAGTTTAAATAATTTATTTTAATTTACATGTGAACATATTTTAGCATAATAACTAAAAAAAAAAAAAACAACTTAAAGGTTCACAAGTACACTGAGAATATCATAAAATTGTATTAGTCCAAAATCTGTGTTGACAAATTTTATTATCTTCCCTTTATAGATAATAAATTTTATCAAGAATAAGTAGTTCACTTGGTCGACCTTCCAAATTTATTTTTATTTGAAATGATAATATTTATAATGACCTTGAAATGTCCATCATTAAATAATTTAAAAATAGAGTGTCAAGTTCTAACCACTGTTTGATTTTGGGCTTGCTCATTTATGTTTTGCAAGCATACTACACGATTGTAAAATATCAAAACAACTTCTCTTGAAGTGTCTTGGAAGATATGCATGATGCAATTAGTAACAAATATATTTTTTATGTCTTTGTGTAACAAACCAGTGATTGTATTTCATATATGTTGGTTTTGAAATAGGTGAAAGTAAAAACTTTATCAGACATCATATGGTTATTGTAGAAAAATCCAGTTTGATCACTCACATTCCAAATCCGTCCAAAAGAAATGTCCATTTTTGTTTTGTTTATTGAAATAGAAGAAGAAATATTTGTTGTGTATTTTCTTACAATTGTGACATTTATATGTACAGAAATAAAATATTTAAAAAGTTGTTTGTTTTAAGAATAAATTGAAAAAAGCAGAATTATCCCCAGTGGTCTCATTCTGTTCTAACTTCTACTCCACTAACCCCTGGGTTAATCTATTCAGTAAATGGACATAAATATGGTTATCTACCCTTATAAAAAAACGAACACGAAACAAAGGCTGTTTCATTACTAAGACTTTGGTTACAAACAAGGCCAGGGCAGCTAATTTGAAATGGTGGAAACCCTATGGATTAACCTAGGGTATAGTGGAGTAGAGCGGAATGAGACCACTGGGGATACCGAGGATGAAGCGGGATGTACAGGACAAGAATTTCATGGTTTTCTAGTGCCTTAAATCACTTATTTTCAGGCTAAATTTACATTTTTGTTAACTTTTTGGTATAGAATCGAAGACTAGTGGTTGAATTTACATTTTTTGTCAGGTTTTGTGGAATATTCATGATTTTAAAAGGAAGGTTGAGGAAGTTAACAACTGACATGAACATAGAAAAAGCTACTATATGAAAATGAGGTTGTTGTCCAAATTTCTGGTGTAAAAATTTATTGAGGATGGTCTACCCCCTTTAATATTTTTACCAGAGGATAGTATGACATGTTGGGTTCTTTTGGTTATAAATATTAAAGTGAGCAGCATTTTCAAAAATATAAAGGCAGGAATTTGAGCAGAGGTGATGGTGGGCGACTGGGGCAGATTCAATGTCCAGCTTGGCGTGTGATCCGGGATATTATCACCGAGAAGTAGTAATAGCGTTGACAGTTTTTACATATTTTTTAAACAGGTTTCAAAGTGTGTTGGTTCTGTTATGCAAGATCATTTTCCAAAGTAAAAGTTCGGTGCTAAGACCCCCTAAAGATAAAATGAGCACAAAACCAGACCCAACCATTCTAGAGTAAAATTTTTCGTTTTTGCACTAGGAAGATGTCTTCCTTTGAGTTTGTTTTCAATTTAAGCAAAGCCCATGAGTATGACATTGACTGCAGGCCCCTGAACCAGATGTTATTTAAAATTAAACAACAACCATTGAACCAGTCAGTACGGTAGTAAGTTACTACAGTGTTACATGCTAATCAAATTGATAAAGCATATCAAAGAAAAACAATTAAATTGTTGATGTATAATGGAGATGGCCCGAGTAGCAAAGATAAATAGTGGTCCGAGTGGTCTTACAATATAAATTAATTGGTCCGAGTGGTCTTTTGGTTTGGTGTGAGTTGGTCCGAGGGATCACATGGCTAAGTGGGTAAGATGCTGGCTCGCTAGCCTGGAGGTCGGGTGTTCGATCCCTGCATTGACCGAGAAAGTTCATCCCGACCAAATGAAATGAAATGGGGGTTTAACGTCCTACTGTTCTGCTCCTAACCTGGGCTAATGAAGAGGGGCATACGCCACACAGTGTGCTACGGCCTACTCTTATATCGAATTCCAACTGCCAAGGGATCTTTTACGTGCACGCCAATGTGTACACGGGACCTCGGTTTTTCGTCCCATCTGAACGACTAGACAGCTGTCCTTGTCAGGCCACCGTCCTGCATCACTGACAAGGGGAAACCACGCCGGAAAATCGGGATGAACTTTCTCTGCCAATGCAGGGATCGAACACCCGACCTCCAGGCACGTAAAAGATCCTTTGGCAGTTGGAAGTCGATATAAGAGTAGGCCGTAGCGCTGCTGCCCGGGCAAAATTTCCCTCATAGCACACTGCATGGCGTATGCCCATCTGCATTAGCCCAGTTTAGGTGCAGAACATTAGGACGTTTGTTAAACCCCATTTCATTTCATTTCTTTTGGTCCGACTGGTCTTTGTTATGGTCCGAGTGGTCTGGATTCCCACTAACGGCGATGATATTATAATATATGTTTATGTAATTATTGTAGTTTGAGTTGGAATATTGGTAGATTTGGGTAAACCGTGCTACGCAATGACGTATGTATTGTGCTACGGGTGAATTATTAATATTTCTTCGCGATTCATGATGTAAGTTAGTAAGGTACTCAGTTAGGCTGAAGTCAGCGGACGTTTTATGACCTTGACCCTCATCTTCGAAAGCTGCGGGTAACAAAACACAATGTTTAGCCGTTGAAGTGAGCGTACGGAATGAATAACAAATGTCCGCACTACTAATCTATTTAAACCACACTGAAGACACACAATAATTGGCACGAAATGAAACAGTCTTTATCCCCCATTTCTGTAGCACCATAGATAATTTCGGAAAGTCACTGGAATAAACTCCAAAACAGGTTGAATTAACTACTGGTTAAACCGCAAAACACTTTAACTTCAATTCTGTTTACCAAACGTCCGCTGCGCTGCTGTTTCATTTTTTTGAGCCACCCAATACTTGGCATTGAATGAAAGAGTATTTATCCCTCTTTCATGTGGCACCACAGATTATTCTTGAAAGTCCTCAGTATAATCTGAAATCCGTCCTAGGAAAGCATTACCCCCCCCCCCCCCGTCTTGTTTGTCAATTCTGTTTTACCAAACGGCCGCTGCTATTTTATTTTCTTGAGCCACGCAATACTTGGCATGGAATTAAAGAGTATTTATCCCGCTTTCATGTGGCACCATAGATTATTTCTGAAAGCCCTTGATTCTGTCTTCAATCCGTCCCAGGAAAGCTGCCCCCCCCCCTATTTCATTTCCATAATCATACCAAACATCTGCTGTTTCATGTTCTTGAACCACTCATTACATGGCATGGAATTAAAGAGTGTTTATCCCTCTTTCATGTTGCAACATAGTTTATTCTTTAAAATCCTCGTCATAGTCTGAAATACGTCCAAAAAGCACCCCCCTCCCCCCTACTCTTTCTTTCTTAACTGTGATTTACCAAACTACCGCTACTATTTCATTTTCTTGAGCCACGCAATACTTGGCATAGAATGAAAGAGTGGTTATCCCTCTTTCATGTGGCACCATAGATTATTCTTGAAAGTCCTCAGTATAATCTGAAATCCGTCCTAGGAAAGCATTAACCCCCCCCCCCCCCACGTCTTGTTTGTCAATTCTGTTTTACCAAACGGCCGCTGCTATTTCATTTTCTTGAGCCACTAAATACATGTCATGGAATTAAAGAGTGTTTATCCCTCTTTCATGTTGCACCATAGATAATTTCTTAAAGCCCTCGATTCAGTCTTAAATCCGTCCAAGGACAAGTGAAGCTGCCCCCCTGGCCTTTATGTCCACAATTTACCAAACGTCTGCTGTTCTTGGGCGACTCATTACATGGCATGGAATTAAATAGTGTTTATCCTGCAACGTATATTATTCTTGAAAATTGTCGGAATAGCTACCCCAACCTCTTTCTTTTTTTTCAATTAATTTTTACCCAACGTCCGCTGCCATTTTGTTTTATTGAGCCACCCAATACATGGTATACATATTATTATAATCCCTATGAAATATTTTAATTATTTGCTGCTATAATATGAATTATCACTTATTCCCCGTTAAATAAAGATAGGTTACCAGGCAACGAAACATACGCCCACAGCAGCTATATCGTCCGAGCAGTCAACAAGAGTTGTCGCATATTTTTACTTTTTTTCGGTAATGAAACATTTATAATACATTAAAATCTGATTAAGAGTAACAACTCATTAAGTAATTATCAAGTCATAAAGATTCATTGAAAATCAATATACTTGTTCGTCTCACGACCTTAAACTCTGTGTATCAATCTGAAGTCAATCGGATGATAACTTTAGCCTATAGAGCTTCACAAGATTTTTCAAAGTGGTCAAGGGCCATGACTCTGGCAGTGATTATCGGAAAATCAATAGGCGTCTTCGTCTCATGACCTTAAACACTGTGTATAAATTTAAAGTCAATCGGATATTAACTTTAACCTATAGAGCGTCCACAAGCAATTGTGGACGCCGGACCGACGGACGGGGGCGACAACAATATACGACCACATTTCAATGTGGGCGTATAAAAATCGGTCACCGAGTGCAGCTGTACAACTTCAAGGACCCTGGCCTACACTTTCTGAAACGTCAATAAAGGCCCTGGAATGATTTCAATTTAAAAAAATAAACAGTAAGTAAATCTATTTTATTTATATGCTATTTTTGGCCAGAAAATATATTTTTTTACAAGTCTAATTAAATTTAAAAATAAACAATATTTTTTTCTGAAAATCAATATACATATTATTATAATTCCTATGAAATATTTTAATTATTTACTGATATACTAAGCGCCATGGAAAACGCATCACTTAGTTTTTCGTATAACAAAATGATCCTGTAAACATATCTTATTTATTTTGCTTCTTATTGTGAACAATATTCAAATGGGAACACATCAATAACAACACATTTGTACACTTATGGATGTTTAATCTGTAATCAACGGTACAAAGTCAGAGGGGTCAAAACCAAAAGTACGACACAGATGTCAGTAGCGCGTGTGATCTCCACGGGCTCTTACGCACACTGAGCAGCGACGTCGCATGGAATTTACCAATGTTTGAAAGAAGGCCTGGGGCAAATTGTTCCATTCTTGGACAAGAGCAGCTTCTAAAGCAGCAATGGTGTGCATCTGTGGTCTCCGATACAAACGGCGTCCAATCTCATCCCAGACATGTTCTATCGGTGCCATGTCCGGAGACATGGCTGGCCAGTCCAAGACATTGATGTTGTTAGCAGCCAGGTAGTCCATACTAAAACGGGCGGTATGCGGACGTGCATTATCCTGTTGGAAGTGCTGAAGTTGTGGGTTGCAAGACATTACAGCATTAACGCGACCCCTGCAAATGTGTAGGGCGGTCCGGTGATGAAATGTGAAGCCTCCCCACACCATTACACTTCCCCCACCCCACCGATTCGTTTCGAAGACGCAGCAGTCTGCAAGACGTTCCCCAAGACATTTCCCACACACGTTGACGGTCATCAGCGTGATAAAGATGAAAGCGACCCTCATCACTGAAGAGCACACTTTGCCAGTCTACTCTTCTCCATGTCTGGTGTCCTTGAGCCCATATCAAACGCCGCTGACGGTGATGATCCCTGAGGATAGCTCCAACATAAGGTCGTCGTGCACGGAGTCCTACTTCTCTTAGACGACGACGTCTTACGGTGTTGGCTCTTACTGGTCCTTGTCTTCCGACGACTGCTGCACCTGTTCGAGTCGCTGGGCAGAATCTGTCACGCAGATGAGTGACCCGGATGTAGCGGTCTTGAGCCTGGGTTGTAACGCGTTGTGGACCAGGACGTTGACGGTCACGTATTGATCCAGTAACTCGAACACGTTCCACCAACCTTACAATAGTGGACTGATGACAATTGAAGTGTCTGGCAATAGCACGTGTAGACATGCCAGCCGTGGACATTCCCATGGCTTCATTCCGTTGATTTTCAGTAAGTCTCGGCATCTCTAGCTCGATTCCTTCACACGTCCAACAACAAATTACGACAGATTGACGTTTCACAGTTCATGTACTGCACATTAAGTTGAAAACATGCTTTTAAAGGGTTCACGCACAATTCTGCACGTGAATATTGGGTTTTTCATGTGCATCTCGTACAATTTTTTTTTGTGCACACGGGCCGATATTTTTTTCGTTTGGGAGCATTGTGTGAAACAATAGTTCATAGTATTGCATTATATTATACATACAAAACCACCTAGTAATAAAATATTTGGGAAAAAAAGTGATGCGTTTTCCATGGCGCTCAGTATATAATATGAATTGTCACTTATTCCCCGTTTAATAAAAATCGGTCACCGGTAGCAGCTGTATAACTTCAACGACCCTGGCCTACTCTACACTTTCTGACCTGTTAATAAAAGCTCTGGAATGATTTCAATTAAAAAAAATAAACAGTAAAAAAATCTATTTTTATTTATATTCTATTTGTTGCCAGAAAATATATTTTTTTATTAGTCTAATTCAAATTTAAAAATAAACAAAATTTTTTCTGAAAATCAATATCGAAATTTAGTGTATCATATATGATACAAGCCAAGTATTGCGTGGCTCAAAAAAATGAAATAGTAGCGGTAGTTTGGTAAAGCATAATTCACAAAGAAGGAGATGGGGGGGGGGACTTTTGGGACGTATTTCAGACTATGACGAGGATTTTAAAGAATAAGCCATGTTGCAACATGAAAGAGGGATAAACACTCTTTAATTCCACGCCATGTAATGAGTGGCTCAAGAAAATAAAATGGCAGCGGCCGTTTGATAAAACAGAATTGACAAACAAGACGTAGGGGGGCGGGGGGTACTGCTTTCCTAGGACGGATTTCAGATTATGCCGAGGACTTTCAAGAATAATCTATGGCGCCACATGATAGAGGGATAACCACTCTTTCATTCTATCATTCTATGCAAAGTATTGCGTGGCTCAAGAAAATGAAATAGTAGCGGTAGTTTGGTAAAGCACAGTTTACAAAGAAAGAGTAGGGGGGGGGGGGGGTCGGACGTATTTCAGACTATGACGAGGATTTTAAAGAATAATCTATGGTGCCACATGAAAGAGGGATAAACACTCTTTAATTCCATGCCATGTATTTAGTGGCTCAAGAAAATAAAATGGCAGCGGCCGTTTGGTAAAACAGAATTGACAAACAAGACGGGGGAGGGGGGGGGGGTACTGCTTTCCTAGGAAGGATTTCAGATTATGCTGAGGACTTTCAAGAATAATCTATGGTGCCACATGATAGAGGGATAACCACTCTTTCATTCTATACCAGGTATTGCGGGGCTCAAGAAAATGAAATAGTAGCGGTAGTTTGGTAAATCACAGTTCACAAAGAAAGAGTAGGGGGGGGGGGGGCGTTTCGGAAGTATTTTAGCCTATGACGAGGATTTTAAAGAATAAGCTATGTTGCAACATGCAAGAGGGATAAACACTCTTTAATTCCATGCCATGTATTGAGTGGCTCAAGAACATGAAACAGCAGTCGTTTGATAGGATTATGGACATAGAGGGGGGGGGCAGCTTTCCTTGGACGAATTTAAGACTGAATCGAGGGCTTTCAGAAATAATCTATGGTGCCACATGAAAGACGGATAAACATTCTTTAAATCCATGCCATCTATTTAGTGGCTCAAGAAAATAAAATAGCAGCGGCCGTTTGGTAAAACAGAATTGACAAACAAGACGGGGAGGGGGTGGGGGGTACTGCTTTCCTTTAACGGATTTCAGATTATGCTGAGGACTGTCAAGAATAATCTATGGTGCCACATGAAAGAGGGATAAACACTCTTTCATTCAATGCCAAGTATTGAGTGGCTTAAGAAAATGAAACAGCAGCGGACGTTTGGTAAACAGAATTGACATTAAAGTGTTTTGCGGTTTAACCGGTAATTAATCAACCTGTTTTGCGGTGTATTCCAGTGACTTTCCGAAATTATCTATGGTGCTACAGAAATGGGGGATAAAGACTGTTTCATTTCGTGCTAATTATTGTGTGTCTTCAGTGGTTTAAATAGATTAGTAGTGCGGACATTTGTTATTCATTCCGTACGCTCACTTCAACGGCTAAACATTGTGTTGTTAATCGCAGCTTTCGACGATGAGGGTCAAGGTCATAAAACGTCCGCTCAGCGTAACATCCGCTGATTTCTGATTGAAGTCAGAATAGCGCAGTGACGTAGGAGTCAGCCTGACGTCATTTAGAGCAGGTTGTTCAGTCTATAGGTCAAGATAACCCTGCCATTAGAGTTACCTCCCCATTTTTATTTTGTCACTTGTTCCAGTTTTATTTCCGCTTTAGTCCTAGTTGTCAATAATCAATGCCAGAGATTCTATTGTAAGGCTCTGCAATGCATAAGATGTTAACAGGCCCTTTACTTGTATACTATTTGTGATCGCCAGTAACGTGTGGAAAATAAATGATGTCGACGTGTTATAGTTATTCAGGACAGCCGTTTAATTTCAAAGGGTTTCTGTTCTTTATAACATTAATTTGTTCAATACTGATACTAGCGAACTGTCATCTTGCCAAAGACAGTCCGGGTAAATTGTTGCTAGTTTCCTTTGACGGGTTTAGATGGGACTACCTTTCTAAAGTGTCCGGTAAAACACCCAATTTTGAGAAGTTTATGACAAATGGTGGTCAAGCCCGGCAGGGTATGAAAAATTGTTTTATGACCAAAACACTTCCTAACCATTTTACACTAATTACTGGATTGTATGAAGAAAGCCATGGAATAATAGGAAATTACATGTATGATCCAGAATTCAATGAAACTTTTAGCTTCAAAAATAGTACACAGTACCATGAATCAAAATGGTTTGATAATGGTGGAGAACCTATCTGGGTAACAAATCAGTTACAAGGTAATGATAGACGAACTGGGTCATTGTTTTGGCCAGGTACTTATGCAGCTGTAAAGGGTGTTTTACCAACTAGAAATATAGAATATAATGATCACCTACCAAATAAAACACGTGTAGATATGATTATTGACTGGTTTACTGCTGAATATCCAATTAACTTAGGACTACTGTATTTTTCCGAACCTGATGGATATGGCCATCACTATGGACCTGAATCTCAAGAGGTAATGGATATGGTCATTGCCTTAGATGAAATTGTTGGTTATTTACTAAATAAAACTGAAGAAAAAGGCTTAGATGATTTGAATATTATCATCCTTAGTGATCATGGGATGAGCAATACACCAATGGCTGATGTGATTAATTTAGATGACCATATTCATCCCAAGGATTATAGAATAATTGACAATGATCCAGTTGGTCTCATATATCCTAATGAAGGTAATGACACTCAGTTAACAATTGTTTTATAATTTTGAAATCAAATAAGATATAACTATAATTGTTTTTTATACCGTACATGTCAACATTGAAATCAACTGAAAAATTTAACTAATGCATAGCCATAACTATCATGACATGACACTAATCGACAAGAAATAATTTGAAAAATTACTGTTATGCATGAATTAAAATGGTTGATGTATTACCGAGAAAAAGCCTCTATGAATAAAGTGCGTTTTCAAATTTATCTTAAAGACCACCAACGGTGAACAGATTCAAATATTTTGAGGTAATCTGTTCCAGAGAAGAGAGACTTAAACATAAATGAACATATTTTGCAGAATGTTCTGTTAATAAGCGTGGGTCCTCTGAAGAGCTGAGATTTCTCTTTGGAACATAAACTTCAAGGAGCTCAGGAGGGGCAGAAGTTATTTAAACATCCGACTTCATTAGCCCAGTGACGTTAAACCCCATTTCATTTCATTTAAACATGCATTATGCAAGAGCTAAATCTTCTTGTTCCAGGTCTTTTTTAGGACTTAAATGTTATTTAAATTATTAATTAGACATTAATTAACTTATCATGACCATAATCAACTCTCGATGCCATCGGATGCCTGCGATATTTAGTGGATTTAAATATATTTTATGCTAGATGTGTTTACTGTAAAAATGGATAATTGAGACATTGTTTATTATCGTAACAACAGTATTAATGACAATCAAGGCTAGCCTATAAATATATTTTGCCGATTCCTTGACTCAGGGTGAAGTAATTTCACAAAAATTCTCAAAATATTCTCTTTTCATTATATAATATATTTTTTAAAAATTATAGCAAGATCTGAACTGTCAGCTCTTTATCTAATCTTACCTAATGTCACTTTAAAGGACAATATAGGTGTCAGTCATTATTACATATGTCATAGAACTGGTTAAATACATTCCAAATATAATTTTAACACAGAGATCATTGCTACGGGAGACGGGTAACAAGCACGCGAAGCAACGGGAAGTAACGCCAAACACGAGTTGTCCTTCTATATAACTGACTGAAGTAATGAGCAATCACAGACAAACAATTGAATTTCATTTCAATGATAATTCCGTTGAAGTTGAAAAGTTTTATATGGGACGGTGAGAGGGTATCTCACAATTCAAAAATAGATGTGGCTGTCACTAGATAAGGGAAACGAGAAAAATAGAAAAATCTTGTGCATTCCCCCTTTTTATTTATTCTGTTCTTAACAAAAACATGGTAATGCATGGACTTTTTCTAATTTTTTTGTTATCTTTTATCTACTGACAGCCAATTCTTTTTTTGAATTGTCAGATATTCTCTCATCGTCTCATATAACAACTTTTCATCTTCAACTGAATTATCAGTGAAATGAAATTCAATCGTTGTATGTCATCACTCGTTACTTCAGTCAGTTATATAGAAGGACAACTCGTGTTTGTTATGTTTGACGTCACTTCCCGTTTCTTCACTTGCTTGTTACACATCTCCAGTTGCAATGATCTCTGTGTTAAAATTATTTTTGGGATGTATTTAACAGAGAGAGATAGAGAAATGGGGTTTAACGTCCACTCGACACAAACTAGGTCATTTCGGGACTAACATATGGTTTAACTTTATTTACATAATTCGCTTGCGCGTAGGGGTCTTTAGCAGTGGGAGGAAACCAGAGGCCCCGGAGAAAACCCACGAGGTTGGACAGGCGACCCTACTCCTTGCCACGTACAACCGAGGATTCGAAACCACGCCAATCGACTCAATGACAGACTTTATGATACAGCGCGCGCACGCTAACCATTCAGCCATCCAACCCCCCCATGTATTTAACAAGCTCTATCACATATTTTATAATGACTGACACCAATATTGTCCTTTATGCATTTGTTAGTAAGAATAAGTAGATGTACATGTAAGAAGGAGTGTTTGAACTTGACTCTAAAGGAAATAGGTAACCAATTTAGATGATTGTTTGAGTTATTAACCTAGCTGCAGAATACTGTCTCCAAAAACCTTGTAAACATGCTAGAGAGTTTTGAATTTTATTTATTGCTGTATCTGCAATATGGCTGATCTGAATGTTGGAGAGAGAGAGAGAAATGGGGTTTAACGTCCACTCGACACAAACTAGGTCATTTCGGGACTAATATATGGTTTAATTTTATTTCAATAATTCACTTGCTCGTACGGGTCTTTAGCAGTGAGAGGAAACCGGAGGACCCGGAGAAAACCCACGAGGTTGGACAGACGACCCTGCTCCTTGTCACGTACATCCGAGGATTCAAAACCACGCCAGTTGACTCAATGACAGACTTTATGATACAGCACGCACATGCTAACCATTCAGCCATAAAATCTGGTAAAGAATAAACTGATAGGCCCTATCATTATCAGGAATTATGTTGTGTAGTAGGATATTCTCTGTAGATTTGGGGGGGGGGGGTGTGCATTAGTCTATTGCTTGAAAAATTGTGTCTTGACAAAAATGTCCCAAGTTAGAATCCTGACGTGTACCAAGAAGAGACATTGGCTGTTGAAAATCAAAGAAGAGTACATGTAGGTGGAAATATCACTGTCTGTGCAAAATGTTAGTCTTACAAAGCGACCAAAGTGTTGCATTGACAAGACGTGCAACACCATTCCATTTAATTACCTTCTGAATTCTTTTCAGGAAAGAAAGAAACCATTTATAAAGCCCTGTCCCAAAGTTCTAAAGAAGGTAAAGACCGTGGCAAATTTGAAGTGTACTATAAAGAAGATGTACCATCTCAGTATCACTTTGCTAGCAATAGAAGAATACCGCCTATTGTTATTATAATGAAAGATCATTATACATATACTTATTATACAACTACCATCACATATAATACAAGTAAGTATCACATGCATGTTTGATTTAAAGAAATTAAACATCTAACTCAGTATTATCCAAAATATTCAAAATTAATAACATGAATTAGAATTCAATATTGGTCCATTTCAATCAATAATATTGTTATTGCTATCAATCATACTGAGAAAATATTTAAGCATATTCCTGAAGCAATGACCAGAGAAATCCCTCTCTGGCCATTGCTGGATTGACTTAGGATATTTGAGCTTTTGAGGGAATGTGTCTATTCTTCCCATTCAATCATATCTCTCCTAAATACAGCATCTCGACAGCCATTCGTTTAATCTGGGGTCTTCCCTAAAACTTTGGACAGTGATTTAAGATATTAAAAACGGTGAAAGTATTGTTCGTCTCCAAACAGTATTGTTTACGTTGTAACCGTTGATAGCCTTGTTTGTCACGCAATTAGTTTTTCTGCAATATTCTGCTATGCACTGGTTAATTGTGGGTAAAAATTTTGTGAGTCATGACGTAACGTTATGTAAACAATGTGAAGCTCTGTTTAAACCTGAATGACATTGTTACGCAGTTAGGCATTGGTTGTTAATTGGACTATTGACCAGTCATAATTTGGAACAGAAATTTGCTTTCATTATAGCAGTGTTTGAGTGGGATTAGGTCTAATCAAACAAAACACTGCAAGGAGTATGATATTTAAGATGCAATGAACATTTTAAAATCAGTACATGACTTTGTGTACTCTAGGGACATAATGGTTTCGAGTGCCATTTTAATGAACAAAGAAAAACATTCCAAGAAGATAACAATGGCTGATTCACAGACATCAAAATAATAATAAACGCTGCCATTCAATTTGGGCCATTAGCATATTTCACTGAACATAATTTATTAAAAATTACAATGAAAGTTTTAAAAATTGAATGTAAATCACTTTATACACTCATATTACATTGATACATGTATGTGCTTTTTGACCCATTTGTGCCTATGTTTAAGTTTCAAAAGAACAGAGCTTTATATGCCCTTTAAATAAGGAATATAAATGTATCTTAGTTCAAAAAAAAAAAAAATAAATTAAAACGCAATGTTTCTTTAACAAAAAAGAAAAGTGTAATTAAGAAAGTAAAATATTTGGGGTTTTTTTAACTTTCAGAAGGTACACATGGATATAACAATAGTCTACAAGATATGCATCCATTTTTTCTGGCAATGGGACCAGCTTTTAAAAAGGGAGCAATTGTAGATAGTTTTAATAATCTAGATGTTTATCCATTGATGTGTCATATATTGGGTTTAAAACCGGCACCAAATAATGGTACTTTAGATATAGTCAAAGAACTATTACATGAGGAGAAACAGTATACTTTTGTAACATTTGCTACATGTAAGTTTATCTTATTTATGATCAGTTTCTTTAGAAAATATTTTAATTGACCAAAGTATGTATAGAAAATATAAGCTAATAGCACCTGACTACCTAAAAGTAGAAAAGTACCTGTAAGACTTGGAGTATAAATTCATTCTACTTCCCTTTACTTGACTTTATTGGCGAACTTTAATCCAAAGATAAATACTAAGCTGTTTGTCACAGCAGAATATCCACAGATGTCCCCAGTATGAAGTATCAGGTGTTCTGATTTATATTCCTTGAATGTTTCAAGTATCATTTTGCGACGTTTTTTTGGGGAGGTGGGGGGTGGGGGATATTTTTTAAGGGTGTGGAGGTTGTTACTTTTGCACTATTGAATAAATTGTTTCCATGTTCAAGTGTTTGATAATCCTGTATATTTCAGATATTGGTATTTTAGTATTCATAGCTTTGGTTGGTGGTATATTTATGATGGCAGCTTGTCGTCAACATCGCTATATGAAACGTAAACAGCAATATTCCCTTACATCTGTACCAGGTGGTGTTAATTTCTCGTCTGTATTTCAACATGAATCAAAATTACCTTTATTATCAGATTCTGAAGAAGAAAGCACACCCTGATTCAACAGCTTATGTTACAACCATTTTCATTAGTTTAAATTCATCTTTCAAAATTTATGTTTATGTTGGTAGTGGTGATACTTGAATGAAAGTAAAGGTTTGAATTTATAATCTGTTTTTAGATGGGGGTTGGGTGGCTGAATGGTTGAAGGTCTGTCATTGAGTCAAGAGGTGTGGTTTTGACTCCCTGTTTGTACGTGACAAGGAGTAGGGTCACCTCTCCAATCTTGTGGGTTTTCATTGGGTTCTCCTGTTTCGTAAAACTGCTCAAGACTCCTATGCGCAATTGAATTATTGAAATAAAATTAAACGATATGTTAGTTCCGGAATGACCTAGTTTGTGTTGAGTCAACATTAAATCCAATTTCTCTCTCTGTTTAAATGAATATAACAATTGTAAACAAATGGCAATTACACCCATGTGTATGGCAGCAGTCCCACAAGGACAAGTTTGGTGTGTTATGTATTATTATGTGAATCAATTTTAAGTTATTATAAGTTTTTTGTCCTTTTATAGATTTAGATACATTATAGAGCTTCACAGTTCTAATTTTAATTAAAGATGCATTATGTAAGATTTAAATAAAGAGCTGACAGTTTTTTTCTATAATTGTTTTAAATTAGATAATAAAAAAAGAATATATTGAAAATTTAAGTCAAATTACTTTGTTCTGATGAAGTTACGGCTATTTGAAGAATAGCGGAGTCTCGATTGTCAATGCTACCATTGTTACTATAGTAAGCTGAGTCTCAATTATCTATTTTTTATACGCCCACATTGAAATGTGGTCTATATTGTCGTCACCCCCGTCCGTCCATGTTTAAGGTCGTAAGTCGAAGAAGCCTTTTGATTTTCAACAATATCCGATAATTACTGCCAGAGTTATGGCCCTTGATCACTTTGAAATATCTTGTGGACACTCTAGAGGCTAAAGTTAATATCTAATTGACTTTAGATTTATACACAGTAAAGGTCATTTGATGAAGAAGCATATCGATTTTCAACGATTTCCGATAATTACTGCCAAAGTTATGGCCCTTGATCACTTTGAAATATCTTGTGGACACTGTAGACGCTAAAGTTAATATCCGATTGACCTTAAAATTATACACAGTGTTTAAGGTCATCAGACAAAGAAACCTGTTGATAAGGTCATCAGACGAAGAATACGAAGAAACCTATTGATAAGGTCATCAGACGAAGAAACCTATTGATTTTCAACGATTTCCGATAATTACTGCCAGAGTTATGGCCCTTGATCACTTTGAAAAATCTTGTGGATGCTTTAGAGACCATAGTTATCATAATATATATATCTCCTAACCAAAGCAAAATTCAATTCATCTATCACAAGGACCGGCTTTTATGTATCTAAATGCCCGGATCTTCGATGTAAATGTTGCGACCATATTACGCCAAATAGCAAATATAATTTTCCTAAGTTTACATTTAGTGTCAACGACAATATGAATTGTGACACAAAAAATCTCATATATGTCTTGACTTGCAGTGGGTGTCTAAATTTTTACATAGGGGAGACGTCCACGCATCTACGGGATAGAGTACGCAACCATCGACGGGATTGTAATATTGAAAAAGGGCCCTTATTTGTAAATAGACATATTTTTAAATGTGCACAACACCTACAAGTAAAATTCCAAATTTTCCCTTTTTATAAAATGAAAGTCGATGACACCACGAAAAGGAAATTAATGGAAAACCATTTTATTAAAAAATATGTTCCTCGACTTAATAGTCAATAAGTAACAATTGGCCATTAGCTTCATTAATTTTCTTAAATCTATCCCATGATGATCTTCCACTCATTGTTCATAAATTGAACTCCATATACTACAGATTAACACATGTGTGTACATGTTTCTATTAGTTAACGATATACTATGTAACCATAGACAATGGTAACTATAGCCAATTAAAACCACAGTGTTACTATGTAAATATGTATAAATATACTATACTGTCCATCTTTATACAATGACATTATTTATGAATAGTCCCAAGACGGACGAAAAGTACTTTAAAATGTTAAAATGTTATTAAACCAGTGTTGAAATCAGTTTGTGTCGGCATACCCTTTTTTTTTTATCTTTTTCATCATTTACCGTGAAACAAAGTAGTGCAGCTTTGCGGTTGTGCAAATAATTTTGGATACATATATATATACATGTATATATATATATATATATATATAATTATTTCGATTGATACACAGATTTTAAAGGGCTAATCCCGATAATTTTTTGAAGAATAAAACTGTTTAATTTTGTTTTAAAATCCCTTAAAATCCTCTACCTAAAGGCCTAGCAACTAACTCAATATTTGTGATAAGTTTTCAAATAACTGAAACCTGTCAGTCTTCATCTGGAAATGGAGACCGGTGTCCCAAGCTGTATTATGCGTGTCTAGATAAAACCAGACATTTTTTGTATAAAAATAATGTGTAGGCGAAATTTACCTTTCATTATCAAGTACAGCATTTGGGTCATTTACTGTATAGACCTCTCAATGAACGGGAATCGATTATCGGTCTCCCAACGAAAAAATTGACCCGAAATCTTAAAAGGGTTACGTGTCCGGATAAGCAGTTTTGACGATCACGTCCAAACGACTCAATATTTTGAGCTGAAATTTTTAGATTCGGTCAATACACCATTCCTCTATATTTTGGCGTTTAAATTTCATACATACTCAGACTTTTATTTTTGAGACTCTGTTCAAATAAGGGATAGTCCCTTTAAGGTCGTGAGACGAACTAGTACATTGATTTTAAATGATTTTGGGTAACTTGATTGGGTGAATCCATGGTATTAAATGTTTTGTATACTAAATGTTAGCATGGGCCAAACAAATTCTAATGATTTTCTGATAATTACTTAATGAGTTGTTACTCTTAAACAGATTTTAGTGTATTATAAATGTTTCATTACCAACAAAAGTAAAAATATGCGACAACTCATGTTGACTGCCCGGACGATTTAGCTGCAGTGGGCGTATGTTTCATTGCCTTGCAACCTATCTTTCAATCAATTATTAACTGACGATCTTGTTTCAATCCATTGAAATTTGCGAGCTTCTGGTGGACTAGAGAGTTGAGTATGGTCTTGACAAGTTAATAAATGTCTAATCAATAATTTATATAATGTATGAGGCCAAAAGAAACACCTGAAATAGGCAGATTTAGCTCTTACATCATGCTTCTTTAAAATGGCAAAAATAGCTGTTTTTCTGCAAAATAAATAGCAAAAGAGAAATGAGCCAGTAATTCTAAATAAGTGTGATACTTTTTAAGAAAATATATTGGGCACATCGGTATTCTCTCTGTAACCCCATTGTGAACTGTGAAGTGTTTAAGTCATGTTGATTAAAATGTCTACTAGTTCAACTATAAGTAACTACGGGGTAATCTTTTCTAAAATAAATTCATGATTTAGCTTAGATAAGTTTTTAGTATTCATTAGAAATTTAACACAACCAGATTAAATAGAAATACAAGAAAATGGAAAGTAATATGTTCTTTTAACGAGGCAAGAAAATGATGCAATTAATCAAAACATTGTATGGGAGGCACTGCAGTGGGTCAGGGAGTAAGTTATTTGTAGTTATGTAAGTGATTTACTTGTTTTGAATGAGAACGGATGCATGTAAATGTTGTCTTATTATATATATATTATGTAATTAATAATATGCAGGATACTGTGATTATAAGTACATGTATAGTAAACTCTTTTTATGTATATTAATAATATGGCAGTATACTGTGATTATAGTTATATATAGTAATCGCTTATCATGCATATTAATAATATAGTTGAATACTGTGATTGTGGTTATATTAATATGGCAGTATATATGTTATAAAAGACTACTGTTGTCAAGATACAACTACAAGTGTGCCTTTGAATTTTTTTTTAGAAAACAGATTTCATTAGACAATCCATGTTATAGTCAACTGAATATGCTTGTATAAATAATGCATGTATTTATTGTGTTTTCATGGAGTCATGTTTGGTTGGAATTATAATTGTAATTCAAGTGTTCACCAAATTTTACGTTTGTTTACAATGTAAATCTGTCCTTAGAATAATTCAATCAATTTTATACACGTACATATAAATATATATCTAAGAATCTGTTATTTTATTTGTCCTATAGCTATATATGCCTTACACAATAATATGCATAATAACTTTATTGATTTCAAGCATTTATTTTAAGATACATTATGTAAGATTTAGATAAACAGCTGGCTGTTCTTATTATAATAGTTCAAAAATAGATAATGCAAAATGAAGATATTTCAGTCGAATTAATTTATTATGAGCAAAGTTATCACTGTTTGTAGTTTTGACACACTGTAGTTTTGGTAATAAGTGTGCATTGATTGTTTATTATCATAACCACAGTACTGGTATATTTGAGGCTTAATCTCGCTTCTCCATTTTTATACACAGTGTTTAAGGTGATGAGACAAAGAATCCTATTGATTTTCAACGATTTCCAATAATTACTGCCAGAGTTATGGTCCTTGATCACTTTAAGATATCTTATTGAAACTCTTGAGTCTAGACGCTAATGTTAATATTTTAGTGTTTAAGGCCATTAGATGAAGAAGCCTGTTGATTTTTAACAATTTCCGATAATTACTGCCAGAAATATGACCCTTGATCGCTTTGAAAAATCTTGTGAACACTAAAGTTAAAATCCGATTGACACAGTGTTTAAGGTCACAAGACGAAGAAGCCTATTGATTTTCAATGAATTACACAGTGTTTAAAGTCATATAAGGAAGAGGTCTATTGATTTTCAACAGTTTATAATAATTACTGCCATAGTTATGCCCTTGATCACTTTGAAAAATCTTGTGGACACTTTAGAGACTAAAGTTAATATCTGATTGACTTTATATATTTAATACAATGTTTAAGGTCATGAGACGAAGAAACCTGTCAATTTTCAACGATTTCCAATGCAATTGATATTAAATTTTTGTATGCTAAATGTTAGAAAAGGGCAGAACTAGAAGCCAAATGGATTGTTACTCATAATCAGATTTTAGTGGTTGTAACTGTTTTCATTTCTGCCAAAAGAAAATATATGCGATGCCCTGGACGACAATGGGGGGGGGGGGTATGTTTCATTGCCTGGCAACCTATCTTTGAATCATTAAATGTACAAACCATTCTAATCTAGTTAAAATCTCGAGCATCTGATGGCATCGAGAGTTGATTATGGTCTTGTCATGTTAATAAATGTCTTAAATAATTTATATAATATTTAAGGCCTAAAGAAAGACCAGCAATAGGCAAATTTAGTTCTTGAATAATGTATCTTTAATAATAAGTTACTATAATTTGTTGAGTAACCATGACTTGACTATTGTTAAGAATATAGATTATGATAAATGTATATAAGTTATTGTAAGGTTACACATTTAGTCAATGTCACTACATAAAAACCTTGTCAAATATACACCATAAATGTGTTTGTATACATACATTTCTACAATTTATATAGTTTAAGATTTATTCTATCTCCATGGCTTACAGTTGTGTGGACAGAGAGAAATAATATGAACTTTGGCAAATAATTTACTTGCTGTATCTGAATAGCATTTAAGACAAACATTATTGAATGGCATGTGACCACCACCTCTGTAGCAGAGATTGGATTAACTATTTTCAAAAATATTTGCCAATGTGAACAGATTGTTCTTTACCTTGAAAAGGTTTAAGGAAATATTCTTTTATACCCTCTGCTCTGAATGTATTTATGTTTGTGCCATTCTTAGTTTCTTTTTAATATTGGCCTTCTAGGTACTTGTCATGTATCACTTTATTCATTATCATTTTAATATCAATTAGCATATTAATCTGCTGGCTATATTGTCTTCAGAGAACCATCAGTCGCTATTTATAAAAAAAACCAGGTAGGCCTACTCTTGATATAGCATGGACCTTATAATACATTATAAGGTCCATGGATATGGCAACTATTTTCCATACTCTATAAACACTATATATAAATAAAACCAAGGGCTTTTTGATAGAGCAGCTATTTTCCATATTCTGTGATCACATATGTTTGTCATTAAACAAAAAGAAAGTCATTGACACAAATAGCATTTCTAGCTCTTTGTTTTTAAACTGTGATCAGTAGATATGCTCAAAATGACACAATCAGCATCTTAATTTGCTAATTAAATGTCAAAATGATTTGTATTTCGGGTTGTGCAGTTTTAAAACTGTTTTTAGTATTTTAATAATAAAATGTAAACAGATGATGATAAATGTTACACCGGTACTGATCATTGCAACAACTAGTGGATTAAACATTCCATTTGTCATAATATAAATATTTATAACATCTTTTTTTCATTTTCAAATGCTCCTATATTGTAGGCCATACCTACAAACCACCTCTATTTTTTTCCATTTATAATAAAGGTTTAAATCTATTTCATATAAAATATGTTGGTTGTTTTTTATTACGTTATCAATACATCCTTTAAATGGAGAAGAGTGAAATGCCACAGTGAAAGGAATTTTAACAATTTTTCACAATTGTTTAATAATGATTAAATGCCCACTCCATGTTATAATAGAGGCCACGGTGTCTAATTGAGTAAGACGCTGGCTCACTACTAACACTAGCCTGGAGGACGTGAGTTCAAACCCGGTGTTGGCAGAGAAAGTTAATCAAGATTTTCTGGTGTGGTTTCGCTGACAAGGGCAGCTGTTTAGTCGTTCTGATGGGACGAAAAACTTTTACTTTCCCTGCTGGCTGCTGCATTTCAGCTATTTTTCTTGTTTGTGTTGTGAATTTACCAAAACCTGGCAGAAAATGTTAATTCAAACCCTCTTCGTCCATTCTAGACCAAAAAATCAACAAACATGGGCATGCAAAAGGGGAGAAAAGAGACAAAGAGAATTGCTATAATTTTTTTTTTTTTTTTTTAAATACAAACTTTATTACCCAGATCTAATATGGTAATGCCAGGGATGGGGCCCTGACTTATTACCTTACATGTTTTTCCCTATACAATTTTAATTATCAATAATGCAAATATATAATTACATAATATACAATATACAAGATAATAGCAACATTAATAATAAAAGAAGTAGAGTAGTCATTCTCTGTTAATATGTTAAAAAGTTAATATTCGTCTGATAATAGAGAATCAATTACTGACCATTTTTCTAATTTTTTTGAGGTATAATGAGCTATAGCAGATTGGTACCCAAAATAAGATATCAGTGAGGATAGGTTCAAAGTTTGGTTTTTCTTTGCTGAAACATATATATGAAATTTAGATAAAAGTATTATTAAATTGAGGGCGTCTTTATATTTGTGGGTGTGTAATCCAAAAAGAATAGTTTTAGGTTCAAAAGTAACTTCAATATTAAGATTATTTTTAATTAATAGTTTTAGACTTTCCCATAGTTCTTGGACTATTTTACAGGATGTGAAAAAATGGATTTAGTCTTCCGTTGAATCTTGACAAAACGAACATAGGTCTGTATCTTTTATTTTAGTTTTTTTTAGGTAAGAGTTGAGAGGTAAAATTTGATGCAATAATCTGTACTGAAACCACTGTAAATTTGTATCATTTGTTAGTAAAAAGACCTTGCTAAATGTGGTTTGCCAATCGTTTGGTTCCAAATCTAAAAGTTCCTGCCATTTTATTGTTGAAGAAGGAATAACATTGGTATTTAGTAAAAGTTTATAGAAATAGTTGCAACCTTTTAGGTTTTTTTGTAATTTTTGAAATTTTATACCTAAAGTGTCTGTTTCATTTTTATTTAAAAATTCTTTTAAGCAAGAATATAGGCTCTGAAATTTTAAAAAACAAATTTGAGGTAATTTAAATTTTTTTTCCAATTCAAGTTTTGATAGTATTGCACCATTGTCATCGAACTGTAATTCCGTTTTTGTACCATGATTTGAAATATATAGGTTTGTTATCAGTTTTAATATTCGAGTTATACCAAAGAGGAGATTTGGGTAAGTCAGTGTTAATTATATTTAGAGTATATGTGACCAGGAAGTAAAAACGTCTTTCCAAAATGGATTAGTTGTGTTTATTTTAGAATTTAAAAACTGGTCACCTAAATCTATTAACTGTTTAGTAAAGTTATTACCGTAGCATGTATGGACAATATCAAGCCACGGAGTATCAAAATTAACTAAGATTCGTCATATCCATGTGCATTTTAGAGCCATCATAAATAAATTTAGATTCCGGTTCGTCATTTTTAAACCCCCGTATTGATATATGGCGTCACAAGTACATCTCTTTTAACCCTATCGACATTAGAACCCCATATAAATTTAAAGAAGTCAGTGTTTATTGCCTTAATGATATTAATAGAAGGATTTGGTAGTTAGGATTGCTATAAATAGACGAACTACAATTTTTGTGTACCGAGATGGTGAAATTTAATGGTGGTCTGCATCCTGTTAGACTAGAGTACTGGTAACTAAAGAGTCGTCTCCCTTTCATTTGTGCTGCTTTTACTTTCAGCTGTGACATTATTAGAACATATTAAACACTGTCGTTCTTGTGTGCTACAAAATATACTACAAAGACACGCATAGACGATATACCTTATCTGTAGCAATGGAAGTAACCAATTTGTTTGTAATAATAATTGCATTTAGTTATACTTTTCAAATGATCGGAGAATGTCACAAAAATGAATCCAAACAACCCAAATTATTGTTGATATCTTTGGATGGATTTAGATGGGACTATCTGTCAAAGGTACCAACCAATACAACAAACTTCAGTAGATTTATCAATGAAGGATGTCATGCGAGGTGCGGATTAAAAAACATTTTCACAACTTTAACCTACCCAAATCATTTTGCATTAGTTAGTGGATTGTATGCTGAATCTCATGGAGTTGTTGGCAACAAGATGTTCGACCCTGAATATAATGAAACTTTTACTTTAAATAATGTTACCCAACAATCTCAGTCAAAATGGTTTGATAACGGGGCCGAACCAATCTGGGTTACCAATCAGTTACAAGGAAATGACCGACGTTCTGGGACAATGTTTTGGCCAGGTAGTTATGCACCAGTCAAAGGTGTTCAAATAACAAGAAAACAAGATGGATTTGACTTCAAATCTGATACAAACTTAGCCTATGAAACTCGGGTGGACATATTAATGAAGTGGTTCACAGATGAATATCCCATTAATTTAGGACTTCTCTATATTGAAGAACCTGATGAAACGGGGCACAATTATGGACCTGATTCCCAAGAAGTCAAAAATAAGATTATGGAATTAGATAAAATTGTTGGTTACTTGTTAAAAAAGGTTAAAAAAGCAGATCTTCATGAAGAATTAAATATTATTTTAACCAGTGACCATGGTATGATGTCAGAAGATCACTTTATAGATTTGTCAAAAGTTTTGAGTCCAGATCTGTACAGAATGTTTGATTGGAATATTCTACCAAATAAAGGTACCAGTAATTTAAATTATTACTGACTGATATGAGGGTTATTATTGCACTTGCAGGCATATATAATTCTCTGAAACTGAGTAGTTAGAAAACTGTTTGTTGACGATGATGGATGGTGTGGGGTTAAGGTTGTGTAGTACAAACTTGTTATGTTTGGCCTACCGTACTTATTTTATTATAGAAAAGTAATACTATAATAGTGGAACATGTAAGACTATTTTTATAGGGTTATAAAAGTAATTATTATACTATGTGTAGAGAGTTAAACATTTGAAAGCATGAGTTCAAAACCGTTAATCTGAATGAATTCAAGCCCGGAGGTTATCTAGAGTTGATATTTTAAGTTTGTTATGTTAATTATATTTTAGCATGGATTAATCAATGAAAAATTTTATATTTTCCAAAAAATGCAAATGATGCCCAGGGACTTTGATTATGTAATAACAACAGTCCTATGAAAAATAGGACATATCTATTGCTATTAAGATATGGAAATAATCTGGCTTAATGTACCTTTAAGAAATACCTCTGGCAAATTGTGATGTGATATACTGGTAATTTTAAATATTTTTTTTTCAGGTCAAGAAGATCTTGTTTATAATCAGTTGCTAAAGGCTTCAAAAGAAAATGGTCATTTTAAAGTTCATCATAAAAATGAAGTACCATCTGAATATTTTTATAGTAAAAATAGAAGAATTATGCCAATAGTGTTGGAAGCTGAGGAACACTATGGATTAGCTCAAAATCTGAGTTCTTTTAAAAGACTAAATAGTAAGTGAGGGCCTGATATACACCTATTATCTGAATAAAAAGGAAATTAATGTTCCTGGTGGATTTTATGGACCAAGAACACCAGGCCTAAGATATGATAATGTTTTACCCGTGGGATCTAGATGGCCCAATTTATACAGGAAAGGAACAGAGTTTGACACAATACTTTGGTCATTCTTAGACTGATATACAGCTATTTCATTTCTTATGTGTGCAATGTTAGGGAGGAGAGTTTTGCCTTGACTGTGGCGTTTCACCCTTCATCGATATCCAACAATCAAAACCCCACAGACATATCCCCAGGTTTGAAAAATAGAGAGTCCAGTTCCCTTTCGATTTGTTTACTGCAGTCAAAATAGTTGATACTCAGGAGGCACGGTGGCTAGATGGTTAAGATGCTGGCTCGCTAGCCTGGAGGTATTAGAATCTCATAATATTCATATTATATAATATATGTAATATATTATTTTTCAGAGGGAGCACATGGGTATAACAATAGTCTACAAGATATGCATCCAATTTTTCTGGCAATGGGACCAGCTTTTAAAAAGGGAGCAAGTGTAGAGAGTTTTAATAATTTAGATGTTTATCCATTGATGTGTCATATATTGGGTTTAAAACCGGCACCAAATAATGGTACTTTAGATATAGTCAAAGAATTATTACATGAGAAACAGAATACTACTATAACATTTGCTACATGTAAGTTTATGTGATTTTATTATTGTCCCCCGCCTTTCGAAGAAAGCAGGGGACTATTAAAATGGGTTCGTCCGTCTGTCTGTCTGTCTGTCCGTCTGTCTGTCCGTCACACTTTTTGGGACACAATAACTCTCTTCCTAATTGAGCTAGAATGTTCAAACTTGGTGTATGTGTTTATTAGGTCAATGCCTTGATGGAGTTCGAAGATGAGCATTTTCTGCTTAGGGTAAGCAGAGATAAGCAATTTGATTGGTTGATGCTTTGGGACACGATAACTCTCTTCCTAATTGGGCTAGAATGTTCAAACTTGGTGTATGTGTTGATTAGGTCAATGCCTTGATGGAGTTCGAAGATGAGCATTTTCCGCTTAGGGTAAGCAGAGATAAGCAATTTGATTGGTTGATGCTTTGGGACACGATAACTTTTAATTGAGCTAGAATGTTCAAACTTGGTGTATGTGTTTATTAGGTCAATGCCTTGATGGAGTTCGAAGATGAGCATTTTCCGCTTAGGGTAAGCAGAGATAAGCAATTTGATTGGTTGATACTTTGGGGCACGATAACTCTCTTCCTAATTGAGCTAGAATGTTCAAACTTGGTGTATGTGTTGATTAGGTCAATGCCTTGATGGAGTTCGAAGATGAGCATTTTCCGCTTAGGGTAAGCAGAGATAAGCAATTTGATTGGTTGATGCTTTGGGACACGATAACTTTAGTTCTAATTAAGTGAGATTGATGAAACTTGGTGTATAGATTTATTATATGAATACCTTAACTAAGTTCGATAATGAACATTTTTTGCTGAGGGTAAGCAGAGTGATAAGCAATTTGATTGATAGAAACTTTGGAACACAATAACTCTCCTTCTAATTGAGGTAGAATGTTCAAACTTGGCATAGGTGTCTATTAGGTGAATGTTTAAACTTGATGTATATGTAGATGTTCATTAGGTGAATGTCTTGACTGAGTTCAATAATTAACATTTCGAGCTGAAGCTAAGCAGAGCTAATCGATTTCATTTGTCGATGGTTTGGGACAAGATAATCTTGATTCTATCTGATAGAGAGTGATGAAACTTAGTGAAAAAAATAAATGTGCGATTAATTAATATGTGTCATCTATTTATTTTGCAATTTCGGCGGGGGACATCAGCCTCACTGTTGGCTTGTTTTGATTTATTAAAAATACATTATGGGAGATTAGATAAAGAGCTGGCAGTTCTCATTATAATAGTTAAAAAATAAATAATGTAAAGGGGATTTGCTGAAAATTTAAGTCAAATTGATCTACTCTGAATTTAACAACTGAATTTTGGGCCTAGCCTTGATCATCATTACTAAAGTCGGTACAATAAAATACATAGTCTCAATTATCCATTTCTTGATTTAATCATTAATGAGCATAGAACAGTAGATTGGATCCCAATCTAGTAAATATCACAGGCTAGCGATGACATCAAGAGTTGATCATGGTCTGGATAAGTTAATTAATGTCTAATTAATAATTTAGATAACATTTCAGGCCTAAAGAAAGACCTGAAATAGGAAGATTTAGCTATAGCATAATTTATTTGTGGACACTCTACCTATAGGTCCAGCTCCCACAAACTCTAGAGGCTAAAGTTAAATGACTTTAAATTTATACACAGTGTTTAAGGTCATGAGACGAAAAAGCCTATTGATTTTCAGCGATTTCCGATAATTACTGCCAGAGTTATGGCCCTTGATTACTTCAAAAAAATCTTGTGGACACTCTAGAGGCTAATGTTAATATCCGATTGACTTTAAATATACGGTATACACAGTGTTTAAGGTCATGAGACGAAAAAGCCTATTGATTTTCAGCGATTTCCGATAATTACTGCTAGAGTTATGGCCCTTTATCAGTTCATAAAATCTTGTGGGCACTCTAGAGACCAAAGTTAATATCCTATTGACTTTAAATTTATAAGGTCATGAGATGAAGAAGCCTATTGATTTTCAACGATTTCCGGTAATAACTGCCAGAATTATGACCCTTGATCCTTTTGAAAAATCTTGTGGACGCTCTAGAGGCTAAAGTTAATATCCGATTGACTTTAAACTTATACACAGTGTTTAAGGTCATAAAACGAAGAAGCCTATTGATTTTCAGCGATTTCCGATAATTACTGCCCGAGTTATGGCCCTTTATCACTTCAAAAAATCTTGTGGACACTCTAGAGACCAAAGTTAATATCCGATTGACTTTAAATTTATACACGGTGTTTAAGGTCATGAGACAGAGAAGCCTATTGATTTTCAACGATTTCCGGTAATTACTGCCAGAGTTATGGCCTTGATCACTTCAAAATATCTTGTGGATGCTCTAGGGCTAAAGATAATATTTAAATTTATACAGTGTTTAAGGTCATGAGACGAAGAAGCGTATTGATTTTCAGCGATTTTGGATAATTACTGCCTGAGTTATGGCTCTTGATCACTTCAAAAAATCTTGTGGACGCTCTAAAGGCTAAAGTTAATATTCGATTGACTTTATAAATTAAGGCTAAAGTTAATATTCGATTGACTTCAGATTGATACACAGAGTTTAAGGTCTTGAGACGAACAAGTATATCGATTTTCAATGAATTTTGATAAATTGAACAGCTAAATCCATGATATTAAATGTTTCATATACTAAACATTAGCATGGGGCAGAACTTTATAAAAACCAAACAAATTCTAATGATTTTCTGATAATTACTTAAAGAGTTGTTACTCTTAATCAGATTTTAGTGTATTATAAATGTTTCATTACTGAAAAAAGTAAAAATATGTGACAACTCTTGTTGACTACCCGGACGATTTAGCTGCTGTTGGCATATGTTTTGTTTCCTGGCAACCTATCTTTATCTGATTTTGACGAAAATTGAAATATATGTTTTGGTTCCTTTCATTATTGGCATGTATCAGACCGTAACTTCATAGATTATGGCCCCTGATTGTACCAAAAAACATGTTTTTAGCTTGTGGACACTCTAGAGGTCACAATTTTTATCTGATTATGATGAAACTTGAAATGTATATTTATATTCCAAAGGTCTCGGTTCCTTTCGATATTTGCACATTATGACTCCTGATTGTACGAAAAGTCACCTTTTTTATCCAATTAAAAAAAACGTTGATGGTTGATATCAAATTTCATGATATTGGCGGACAAAATATGTAATATCAAGATTGTGGCTCTATTTGTTGAAACTTAAAATATATGATTAAATCCCAAAGATCTCAGGTCCTTTCAATATTTGTGCATTTCAGACCTTAACTTCCTGGATTATGGCCCCTGATTGTATGAAAAATCATGGGGTTTTTTTTAGCTTGTTTTCTATCCATCTCTTGCATGGCAACCACTGGTTAATTACATTATTAACTGCCAATCGTGTTTAAATCGTTTGAAAATCAAAAGAATCCGATGTTCTAGAGAGTTGATTATGAGCTTGGCATGTGAATAAATGTCTAATTGAGGATTTATATAATATTTGAGTCAAAACAAAAGATCTGCATTAGGCAGATTTAGCTCTTACATAATGCATCTTTAAGTGAGTTAGACGATGGATCACTAACCTGGAGGTCCCTTTTGATCAAGAAACTTCATCAGGATTTTCTGGCATGGCTGCCCTATGTCAGTGGTGCAGGACAGAGGGCCTGGCAAGGGACAATGTATATTCATTTGGATGGGATGAAAAACCAAGGTCTCATGTGCACATTGGCATGAATGTAAAAAACCCAAAAAACTTGGCAGTTGGAATTCGCTATAGAAGGCCGGGCAAAATTTCCCTCATGGCACACTGTAGAGTATGCCTGTCTTCATCAGCCCAGTTGAAGCAGAACAGTAGGACGTTAAACTCCATTTCATTTCAATTAAGAGATTTTTCAAGGATTAATGTCATGTCTTACAGATATGCAAATTAACTTGTGTGAATGTAGCTTTTGCCTGCAGCAATTCACCAGAATCAAAGTGATACAGATCTAAATTGCATTCACATTGTCAGGATTAGTGTTCAGGTAGATTAGTCTGTTGTGTTCACATGGAGGTCTGGAACCTTTGGACCCAAATCCTACCACTCCCCAAAAAGTTCTACTTCATATATGCTACACAGTGTAGTCAAGTGGTGTAGAGTAAGTTAACTTGGGCCAGCAAAACAATAAAACTTGGCTAATAAACAAATAACTAATGTAAAACATGTATTATTATTATTTTTTTTTTTTTCAGATATAGCTACTTCTGTGTTAATTGCTTTTATCGCTGGTGTATTTATGATTGCTGCATGTCGACAAAATCGTAAATTGAAACAAAATCGGCAATTGGTTCTGTCGTCTGTACCTGATGGAATTAAATTTTCTACACTTTTACAGAATGAAGCCCAAGTGCCATTATTATCAGATTCAGAGGACAGTTTTAATTGAAAAACTTGCAGCTTGTATTACATATTAAACAACGTAATTGTCATTCTTATATTTACTGTATGTACCAACATCTGCGGATTGACTTTAACTGTAGGGTAGCCACAGTGGCTAAGTGTGTAGGACGTTGGCTCGTTAACTTGGAGGACCTGTTTTTGATTCCTGTGTTGCCTGAGAAAGTTCACCAGGATTTTCTGGCATGGTTCCCCCTTGTCAGTGGTGCAGGATGAAGGGTCTGGCAAGGGACAACCTAGTCATTTGGATGGGACAAAAAACGAGGTTGGAATTCGAAATAAGACTAGGCCGTAGTACCGCTGTCCAAGTAAAATTTCCCACATATCACACTGTATGACATATGTCTATATTAGCCCAGTCGAAGCAGAACAGTAGGATGTAGAACCCCATTTCATTTCTCTAACGGTAGGATGATTAGATTGTCCTCGTTGTTCGGACAAACAACAACTTATAAATATTTGGTAGCCTTTTATGTGCAGTCATAGATATAGTACATCATTTACTTATAACAATGTGTTTTGAATTACGCCATCGTTGACCACAACTAGAGGTACATACAATTTTATATAACTATAATATAAACTTTTACGCTGTTTAGTGAGACTCAATTTTTGCCTTCAATTTTGTACTTTCATAAAAATTCATACTTACTTCTTAAAGTGAAGTGAAACACTTGAATAATTACTTCAACAATCCTTTTGAAATGTGTTATAAATTTACATTTGAACTGTGTTCAGTTCAGATATTTCTACATGGTTGAATTGTATTTAAAGGACAATATGGGTGTTAGTCATTATCACGTGTGATAGAACTGGTTAAACACATTCCAAATGCAAAAGCAAAACATGAGTTATTCTTCTATATAACTGACTGAAGTGATAAGGGATACACAGGCGAATCTCTGCTCACTAATAATTCCTTCGAAGACCAAAGTTGTTTTGTGAGGCTGTGAGAGGATATCTGATAATTTTAAAAAGTAATTGAATGTCACTAGATGAACGAAAACGAGAAAAATAGAAATAGTCCGTACATTTTTTTGTTTTTATTCATTCTATACTTAATAAAAACAGGGTAATGCATGGACTTTTTCTACTTCTCTCTTATTTATGCTCACTGAGGTGGTTGTTTATTATGGACCTTTTTGCCACTTGTAGATATACAATTGGGGGCTTCCGGTAAATCCCTAAATGTAAATATATTTTGTATTTTTGTTGTTTTTTTTAAAAATGAAATTTCGATTTTATATGCATAATGTTCTTTATGTCAAGTAATTTGTTAATAATGGTCATATTTGAGGTATTATTTCTGTGATATTTAATAAGTTATCCATTTCAGAATTTTCCAAAGTTGATAAATGTTCCTATAAAATATATTGGTGATAAGACCTAACTACAACTTGCAGAGGATAAGCAAATTTAATACAATCTTTAACTTTATTTTGCAAAATAAATCTAATATTTGTTTCTTTTGATTTTATTTGTTATATAAAAAAATTGTTATTAAAATACATTTAAAAATGGACAAAATTTCCTGTTCTTTGTATTTCCTCTTAAAAGTCATATGTTTAAAATATGTTAAAATAAAGCCTTAAAACACGTAGAATCTATACACAGTCCTACAGAATGGTCCTATTAAGTTGAGAAATTGGCAAATATATATGTATTTTGGAAATTCCCACAGGGTACTCTGTCCTAGGTAAAAAAAAAAAAAGTAATTCCTATGATTGTACAATAGTGATTTGACAAGCAATAGATATAGAAATAATTATTAATTGACTTTCTTAGAAAATATGCAATTGCAACTTTAAAACAGAATGAATACACATTGAAAAATAACCGAAAAAATCTAAGCCGATAATATTGAATAATAGGAGAGAGCCATATTTATGCACATTACTTGTATGTAAAATCTTGCCCAAGTTTCACAGTACTTTTACAGACTTGAACAGTCTCATTAAGACTTTTATATTCCTTTGATCAGTTTGGGACAAACATTTGATGATATTGCTTAGACAGCAGTATTTCTGATGCATGCCCTACCAATTTAAAAACAGGACCTTGTTTTATATTCCAATCTGAGATGACTAGAAAGACTGTTAGCCTGTTATCTATGACAAGAGGCAAGTGGGTTAAAAAAATCTTAATGGTTCTTCTCTACCTTCAATATTATTCAAACCATTGAGATTATAGTGATGATTAGCAGTTCTATGAAAAGAAATGTGCTGCCAATGAATCTATGATGGTTACTTTTAAAGGAGCTAAATCGCTAACATTTGGGACCTAGAAATTGACACAAGCGGGTCGCAACTCATATAATACTGTAATATCAATGTATATAAACTGATATACATTCAATGGTTTCCGTTTTTATACTAATTTCAAATCAGTTATGTTCTGCGAAATAAGCCTGCAGTCTCAATCGAATGCAAATTTCTAGCGTCTAGTTATTCCAGTCTACATACGCCGTTTGGTTTGGTGCAATATGTCTAGCCTCGTTCCTCGAGTCTCTTGCTAGAACTGGGGCTGAAACGCATTATGGTACACGATTCGTGTACCAATGGCAAAATGTTTATTTTGTCTTAAATATTGGATATCAGAAGCCCATCTTTTTCCGGTAAGATCACAGCATCAATGTTGATTTAAATTGACAAATAATTTGTTTTTTCAATGTTGAAGATTTTGGATGATATTGAGTTAGAGACTTAGCTACTTTAACTTGTATGTACTCCTTTATGGTAAAGGGAACATGTGTGCCCCCACCACTCGCTTGCTTTAAAGGGAAAGCAACATCTGACCAATCAAATTTAGCAAAACATTTGGATACTAATTATGTAACATAATATTTAATTATATGAAGACCAAAGAAATGTATTTCCTAAAATTCCTTGGCTCAAACCCTCAACACAGAGACACTTAACATTAATAAATGTACTGTAAAGTATAATTTCAGAGATGTTTATTTATACCATTATTTTGTTATGATAACTTATATTACTTCAAATCTACAAATTTAATATAATGAAACAATGATATGACAATATTTTAATGCTTTTTGACTGAAGGAAGAAAAAATTTACAAAGGTTGACACCATATTGGATAATAAATAATAAAATATAATATAGGCACTATATATACATGTTACATATAAATATTATCACAGTAGTTTTATACAACAATATCCTTTTATAATGCTGATTTAATATTTACAATAAAACTTTAATACTTAGTTTTGGCTTAAACGAAAGATCACAGACAATTGAAGATTAAACTTACACTCATATAATAAAATAAGCAGAAAGTTTTAAAATATTTGGATGGAAATACAATGGAATCCATTTTTGAAATAAAATATAAAAATTAATATTCATCCACATTCTCTAGAGACATTAAACATATCTGATGACCCCTACATAATTTAGGCAATCCAGGTTGATGTTGGCTCTATTCCTTTCAGCGCAAAGAAAGTTTCTAGTTTATTATCAAAATCTGATGGTCTATCATTAGGATCTCTGTACCGAACTGTCATATTATTACCCAGATATTTAATTAAATGACATGTTTCTTCAAACTTCTGTAATTTCTGTTTATACTTCTTTCGCACATATTCTGAACTTTTAGGATTAAATGCTGAAAAATATAAAGAATGGATTTGAAAATGGGTGTGTGGACAATTATAGCCAGAATTAAGGTAAGATGATCCTCTGTCGATATTTCAAGAGGATAGGGTAATAATACAAAGACTTAAAATTAAATAAAATGGCGTTTATGGCACTTGACTACTTTTCTTTTAAGTACGCACAAATCTGTACATGGGAAATCAGTTCTTCCAGCACCACTGACAAGGTGGAACCACGCCGTAAAATCCTGAGGAATTTTCTCGTCGACCACTGGGATCGTACCCAGGACCTCCAGGTTATCAAGCCACTGCATTAATGAGCTATCACGGTCCCCCAATACTAAGAAAATGAGGTGCATGTACCTACAATGTGAGCACCTAGCTTAAATCATTACAAAAATTGACTGAAAGCATTAATTTAAAATTGTACTTACCTTTCAGATGGTAAGCAACATAAATAGTAGCTGATTTACTAGATGTTAAGAATGGATATTTAGGTTTAAGATTGCCAACTGATGTAAGAGATGTTATTATAGCTGATGCTACAGTTTGTTCCATGTAACCTAACATAGGTAAACTAGTTACTGGTAAACTTTCAACTTTTGGTGGTAATTTATGTGGTAATTTTAAATCCCAGTATTTTTCAGGTAATCTTGAAAAAAATACAAATAAACAAAAATATTAAAGTATTAAAAATAAAAATTAAATAATTTTATTAATATTGACTACAGTGATAACTGATAACACGGGTAATGGAAGAAAGAAATGGGGTTTACTGTTCACTCAGCACAGATAATCTCATTAATTCTCTAACATGTCTACAGGAACACTAGTGCCCAGGCAAAATGAAGGCAACCCCCCATTAATATCAAATAAAAAAATACCTGGGACTAAACTCGCAATTACATAAATGACAAGTCAAAGATCTAAATGATTAATAAATAATGTGCACCTAGAAGGGTAGGCATTCTATCAATTATCAGTTAATTTTATCAGTATAGAATAAACATACAATTTGATCTTTAAATAAAACAAACCATCTTACTTCATAAATTGTAGTAATTTGTCTTCTGTTTCACAATAATAAAATTTGCCTCTGTATTCCACAATGAACTCTGGATTACCAGGTATAATAGACTCATATCTGTTAAATATAATAAAATACAATCATCTTATTCATAAGAAGAACAACCTATAAAAGCCCACTAATAATTGCATATAGAGTAATATAAATTCTCAACATTAATTCTTTACTCTATTAAATTACATTAATCAATCAATCAACTGTATAGACCACTGTATGGCCGAGATTTAAATGGATTGAAACACGATCGCCATTTAATAATTTAATTTAAAAATGGATAATCTGGACAGTCTATAATGAACAATCTTCAAACACAGATAATTTCGCTTAGAATAAAGTAATTTGAATGAAATTTTCAATTCATTTTTCTTTATCTATTTGTGAACTATTATAGCAAGAACGGCCAGCTCTTAATAAAAATGTAACATAATGGATCTTAAACTAAATCAGGCCTATTCTATCAAATATTTTAAATTATTGACATAGAATAGTTCAGAAGAGACTGAAATCAGTTTAAGATTATATGTGTTGTTTATTTCACATCAAAGTCAATTCAGTCAAATATGTATTCCAAATTTTGATCTGATATCGATGGACAAAGTGTTAATACATGTATGTCGGCACACCACATGTCAGAATTTTGTTAATTTCTTACCTGCATTTTCCTTTAAGATAACTAACGGGACAATATCCTTGCAATTCTACAAGAGTTGTTGCAGGGATGTCGCCAGGTTTTCTACGTCTGGGTAATAATTCAGCAGGAGGTAATTTATTTGGTGCTAATGGTGGAACATATTTCTCAGGTTCGGCTAAAAATTGGTCCAACTCTTTTTGAGAAGCCATTTTGTAATAGTGGCCTGAAGTATATACAAATACTGAATATTATTTTCTGCAGTGATTATAAATAACATCTTATTTAGGGAGAAATAAAAATGGAGCTTAAAATGCACCCCCAAACAAACCGGTCATTTTAAGAGTAACACAAGAGTATATTTTAAATTAGGATTGAGATGAAACTAAAAAAAAAAAGCCAGAAATATCACACAAGGTCTGAGAAATTGTTTCAATGGCATTTAGTAATTGAACTGGAATAGACAGGTCACAATTCTATGGAATACAATTACTGCTATAATTAGTATTACTGTATAAATATATAATCGAGTGGCAGTTTCACCTAGACCTCTCTAGTCTTTATCAACCATTATCACACAAGGTAAAGTAGGCAATGGAAAGGAACTCCGGTTGAATAGATGGCCGATCTATGATCCACAGTGCAATTTTCGATATATGATCCGCCAATAACATCAAAACTTTTCAAAACATTTCAAGATATATTCATTTACCTCTGAATTCTGCTGCATATTTAAGTGTGATGTTAGTTGAACAGTCAACTAATTCACTACGTAAAGCCAGACTAACGGGACAATACTGTTCAAAATCACCCAATCTCTGTAAAAACTCTGTTGGTGTTATACACATATCACTGATAGATGCTGCTAAACCTGATAAAAAAACATAAACAGAACCTGATTTAAAATTTAAAATTCAAAATGAAAAATATTGATTTAAAATCTCACTCTTATTTTAACCATCAAAATTTGACTTAAAATCTTGCTCTTATTTTAACCATTAAACTTTTATTTGAAATCTCAATTCAATTCTGTATAAAAATGATTAAAGATACATTCCCGCGTACAAACTGGGTCATTTGATGATATATTTGGCCTAAAAACATATTCAAACAAATTAATTTATCATAAATTTGCTTCAAA